TTTTTTTATCAAAGCTCTAACCGACCTAATGACCGATACATTCACATTAGGTCGGTCACTTTGATAAGTTTAGTTTTTTGCTGTATTTTTTTTAATAATAAGAGTTGGTATAACCATTGCGTCATGACAGACAGCGTAACCATCAGGGAATCCACATGTTTTTCTTAGACGATAATTTCTCTCTATTCAAGGAATGAATTTAGTTCTTTTTTATTATAAATTGAGCAAATGAGCAGACTGGTCGCATAATGGTAAGTGGATACCACTGGCTGTGAACAGCGTTAAACTCAAGAATCACAAAAACGTTTCCTATCTTTGATGTAGGAGTACGCGCTGTTTAAAAACACTCGTAATCTTAGTCAATGTGTATTATAAAATCAATCAACGACGTTACTCGATTTTTTTAGGGTTGACACAAGTTCATTCAATATTAGACTACCAAATATATATAGCTACATAAATAAACATAACCTTTGAATACTAATGAATTCACAATGTTATATTCGATGGCCTTTGTTAATTCAAACATGATATATTTTACTAAAGTGTTTATATGTGTTTTGAAATGCTGACCATTGTAATTTAATTAAATTAAACAGCACAGATAATTTGCAATAATATCGACAGTGTTCACGCATGTTTTTTAACGCCAAATATTTGTCGATTTGTAATTTAAAGATGGGTTAAAGAATAAGCAGTGCCTTATTAGGCAAGTTAGGTATGTAGAGAAAACAATGAAAGGAACTCGAAGTTAAAGTCACACTGGCTCATCTTTGTTGTTGCTGGATAGTCAGAGTTCTTTATAGGCCCCAGTACACCGTGGCCCATGTGGGCAAGCCATCGCCACTGTGTACAGAGGCTAATGGTATACAGTGGCGGAAGATAGTCCATCGTGGCGCGCAATCAGGATGTTGTCAGTTGTTTAATAGTAGAACACTTTAAAGGAATAGTGGCGTAGCGACCGACCACCGACCGCTGACAGGATAAGGCACTTATTTGAATGAGCAATGAAGAGACTTTTCAGTTTATAAATAATAACAATAAGACCCGAACTAAGCAGAGCTTGTACTATGCGTAGCAGTCCGATACACAAATCGCTACGCCATCCGCCCGTCTAAATGTATGTATATAAAGTTCCTCGTAACACAAGATATTTTCCTAGTACGGGAGTAATCTTTTAAAAAAAAGTTAAAACTAAAAATACATCAATCTGAACCAAATAAAAATAAATAGTAATTACTATCACGTTCATTGCACATGTTAAGCCAGGCCTTAACAACAATACATGTGCAATAAAACATCAATTACAAAAGAGTTTTATTCCAATATGACATAACCATTTGTCTCAAAATTGAAGTAATTTCGTAATCATGTCTTAGTCCTCTTTCGTCTTATCATGAAAACATAATAATCATCACTCATATAATAAATGTGGAAACATTTAAATGACTGAAGTTCGTTCATAGAAACTCATTTTAAATATGATTAATTTTAAAAGAGCTCTTAACATGATTAGTTTCATAAACCTACAGAGATGAGCTTACCATTTACTTATTAAAATTTATACCGAGAAATTGAAGATGAAGTTTAGGATTCTTAATCAGTAACCTGTTGATTAATTAATTACTGCGTCGAGACTAAAGTTTATTTATAGTGTTTATAATCAGTGGAAGTAGATAAATGTTCTTGTGCGGGTATGCTGTAGCTCGTGTACTAGATACAATTGCGACCTATTTTAATAAATAGGTATATAAAATCTTCGCTTCGTGTTTTTGTGAGGTAATATAGTTTATTTTTATAGATTTTGCCTTGAACTTGGAAATAAGATTTTCTATGGATTTTTTCCTCATTAAGCCAAGTGTGTGTCATTATGAACGAGTTTTTAAATTACATAGACATTGACTTCTCTGTAATATAATAATTTTGTTGCTGTCTATGTCGTTATAGCCTGATAAAAAACGATAGGTTTGAAACATATTGAAATACTTTCTCGGCAGAGATAAATATACAGCATCCATCTTGCCTCTTTTAGAAGGCGGATGACTAATGGATTACTTCAATAAACACGCACATCACGTCCTAACTAAACTTATTTGCAGCTAAACTTTTGTACTACAACTACATACCTATATATGTCTGTTACGCTTTTACGCCTAAACCACTAGACTGAAAATTTTTACACAAATTTAAAGCTACATTATCACCGAGTAACATAGTCTGCTTTTTACCGATAACCGACATATATGAGGACAAAGCCTCGGGCAAAAGTTAGCATATAATAATGTTTACGTGAATTACCGAGCGCTTACGATAGGTATGTACCTTTGAATATCATAGTTGCACTGGCTGACTTTGACTACGGCCAGAGCCACCCTGTTTAAATAAATGATAAAATGAAAATGTACAGGACAACAAGTCAAAGATAAGGTCGCGGCTCAATTATGGCGATAGCAGTCTCTTTGACAAAATGAAACTTGTATTTACCAGGCACGGCTACTTCGGAAACTATCCGTATTGGATAGACTTTGAGCTCTTTGAACTCCGGAGACACCGTGCTCTATATTGAGTGTCCTGCGTAGGCGCAATAATGTACTGACCTAGCATCGGTTACAGGTGTGTATTTAAGCCTCTCATTGGAGGCTATGGGCTAACGTGAAAGAAACATTCGTAAAGGAGCATTCACATTCTTCTCCAGAAATGTTTTCAGGCAGACCATTGGCACAATATTAAACAAAAATCGATTCGGTTCGACAGTTTTCTTTGAATTTAATAGATAATTATATCAAGTGCGTAGTAGCTATTGTATTGTTTGTTTAATTATACATTTTTAATTATTTTCCAAATGTTTAATTAACAGCAAACAAATGGCAATACATTTGAAATTTAAGAATTGAAACCTTGCATGTCATAATACCCAACAAAACAGATGCTGTCTGCGTTGTATTTGAGATTGAGAAAGCCTAGATGATAAGCATAAGTCATGAGGAGGTGTTGTATAGATTCAAAGTGTGGGTATTTTATACGAAACTGCCTTCGACATATAGGGAATATAAGCGCGAGTGTATGTACGATAAGAACACCCCATAATGCAATACCAGTTAGCAGTTTCGATATTTTACCTTACCCTTGGACCCGATAAGGTGATGAACTATGAGAGGGAGAGAGAGAAGGGGACGGCAAAGAAAGGATACTCAAGAAATAGACGAATTTTCATTTGAAAGAAGTCGTAAGAAAGGGACATCCCCAATATATGGTATTATAGTACTATTACGAATACTACTTTACTGCACGTATGGCGTAGTGGTTTAAGCGTTTACCTCGCCGCTTCCTTCTTTGTGTGATCCACCAATTGTTGTTCTGAGTCTGGGTATTCTTTGTGTCAGTTTCATGTATGTATAAAAATTAAAAAATGTTTTAATGAGAATAAGTGCTTTGATATTTTCGGAGTTTATTTATTTGGTTAACTCTCAACATATATGTAATATTTAGGTATAAGGTTTTCATATAAAAGTTGTTGTTGGACGATAAACTGGTATTCGTCAGGTCAGTATTATATCAATTATATTATACAGATTACATCAATCAATAATATTAGGTATCTTCAACAATCTACATAATTTATTCTAGAATGGTCTCAATAGTATTTCCAGTCTAGATGTTCTTATACTACTCTCAAAGCACTTTACTTCGATTCTATATTTCTAGCGTTTTGCTTCACAAACTCGTAACGTATGGTAATTCAAATGGCGTGGGTCAGGGGATGTTTCCATACGAACTGAAAATATCTAATTAACAAACAAAGACATTATAATAGCATGCCGTCAATTTACGTATAGAGTATTAAACCAAACCAGACATAGGTAAATATGTCCGTATTGAAGAAATAACCGATTTGAACTTTGGTGATTATAGTACATAGGATATATTATATGAATTTAGCACAGATTTTCATGGTTATTTCTCGATTTATTTCAAACTTTAACATGAAACTAATTGATTCCGTTGGGAACCATGGTCTCTGACCGTTTTTCTATACTGTAGATAACTTGTTTTATGGTCGAATCACTGCATTTTCATAAACATTTGATAGAAAACGACGGTATATATGTAGAAATATTCAAAAAATAAGAGCAGAACGAGATATTAAATAAAAGTTTTTATTATACCGTAAAAGAAAGAATGGTCTGATCTTTCTCTGATTTAAAACACTAATACGTACATGCTTTGTAATATAATAATAATATTTACCTTACATATGGTTCTAACGGGGCAGAGCCTGTACTATGGTAACCAGACTGCTGATAAACATATATTTCTTAATATAATATATGTATAACTTATATATTTCTTAATATATACATATTATACATAAATAACACCCTGATACAGAACAAATCATTTGTGCTCATCACACAATTATTTGTCCTATATGGGAATCGAACCCTCGACCTCAGCAATAGCAGTCAGGATCACTAACCACTACACCAACAGGCTCGTCAAAATATGTATTTAGAAGAACATATTTTGAAAGACAACTCCCGTACTAGGACTAAATCCTGTGTCGCGGAGGACTTTACAAACTTACATTAAACAGACACAAAGGACACCAAGACTCAGAACAATAATTTGTGGATCACAGAAAATGTTGTCCCATGTGGGGATCGAACCCACAACACTTAGCGCAGTAGGAAGCGGCGAGGTGACTGCTTAAACCACTACGCCATACGTGCAGTTACACTGATATCACACGTAATAATATAACTCTTATGTAATAGTTGTTTTTTAAAAGTACTGCGATTAAGAACAACAGGAGGAGAGGACAAGGAGGTATTCGTTAATATTTATTTCATTAACATGCTATATTTAATTGAAATATAACATGACGTTTGTTAGACAACATTACTACTACACAGAGTGTTAACATTTTTAAAACCATGAAAAAAACATACAAGTTACTTTGCTTTTAATATAATATGTATGTTACCATTAGAAAATAAAATATGTTGAAATGCGCATTACCTAGGTAATTTGCAAATTACCAGGTATGATTCGTTAAAGTGTGAAATTTAACTTTCATCATTTTCATTATCATTAACAGCCTTTAATAGTCCACTGCTGGACATAATCCTCTCCTTAGAAAGGAGGTTTTGGCCTACTATACCACGCTGGCCAGTCGGGTTGGTATAGGGTTTGTGTCAAGTTTTCCTTCTCTCTGCAGTGCTGTTGTTCTGCGTATTTTTTTCCCTTAGTCGGCTGTTACGACACCCACGGGACGAATAGGGGTGGTGACACTCTGTATTATTAATCCGTCACCACACGGACGATACCCGATATCAACACTTTACATAGTGTATCTGCATATTAAAATTCTACATAGTTAAATCACGGAAAACAGTGAACAAAAGACTTTTGTCTCGGTTTTGAGTCTCCCCGCAGTCGCACTTGTGTCCACGTCAACAGCGGGGCCCGGCCGGTCAGTCGAAAAGTACTTTTGACCGCAACATCATACTCACCTAACTCAAACGATTCACCAACAATAGAGGGGATCTGGGGATCTTTAATTTTTGACTGTTTAACTATCAAACTTCTAATGTCTGCTATAAATGGTGTTTTCGGCAAGGCGGTTGATGCAGATGATGATTATTTTATTCTTTTTGTTTATTATGGCTACATATTTAGTTCAAATCAAACTAAAAATAGTAGGTACTGCTTTTGTGAAATTGTTTTAATTTTTGAATTTTATTAACAAAATGCGCATGTCATGTGGATATGTCAAGCAGCTAAATCTTGTTTTCTATTGTTTTTGTTTGTTTTCTTTACATTCATAAATTACATTTAAACATAAATATATTTTCGTTCAACTAAAACTTGATTTAATCCAGTTTAATTTTACCAAAACTTATTAGTTTCTAAAAATATTGTTTAAATAAACAACAAAAATATTGAACAAACAATAACAAACATAAAAGCTGTACCGAATACTTTCATACATACTTTCTAAATAGATTTGATCTAAAATAACCAAGGTTAGTGGCAATGTGAAAATGCTTTTAGTAGATTAAGTCTGGTTTGGAACAAAATTAACGAAAATTCAAGTTTAATTATTTCTCAATTACAAAGGGTCCATAATTATTCTCTCTTCACAATTATACTAATATCTTAATTGGCATTGAATTAACGATGCCTTGTTCTTCCTTTCAATGTCATTCAAATGTCATAAAAAAAAATATTATCACCTTAATTATACAATTATCTTCCATGGAGTTATCCTTATTATGTCCGTGTGGTGACGGATTAAGAATACGGACGGTCACCAGCCCTATTTATCCCGCAGGTGTCGTAAGAGCCGACTAAGGGAAAAGCTTTGCAGAACAAGAGCGCTGCAAAAAAAAATAAAAATTGACACAAAACCCTATACTACTATACTACGTCTGGCGTGGTATATTAGGCTAAAACCTGCATTGTACGGAGAGGCCTATGTCCAGCAGTGGACAGTGGTATTATATTTGCGTAATTATGTAAAAATATTTAAAATTGGCCACTTTCATTTAGTTTTTTTACACACACTTAACTAATAAAAAAAATCGTGTTATAGATTAATTTGTTTATTTCTCTTTAATAAGCTGTCTACTTCATAACTAATCAACACAGATATATCAGCAGTCTCAAATGTCACTTTAAATGTACTACATAATAAGGAATAATTAACAAGGAATAATTAAGTCCAAAGCTGAGTGCTATAAACTTCTTTTCACTACGTTAACCGATAATATACCTTTCTAACAGTGAAAGAATTTTCAAAATAGGATCAGTAGTACCGGAGATTACCCCAAATATACAAACTCAACTCAAGCTTTACCTTACCATTGTAAGTGATAACTGTAAGCTTTGGCATCAGCGTTTGGTTTCATTTTTCGTCAGCGGTTTACTTCTATTTACCGCCCCCCATAGAAGCTCGCAACTCAACCCATAAAACGCGCTAGTGACTAAGCACGTTGTGACTTCTGAGTTGCAGGCTCTTTTCTTGATGGTTTGAAGGTCGTATCGATCGGAACTACCGCAAACGATAACACATTGGTTGTGCGAGGCAAAAAAAATCTTGAAAAGCGCACAATGGTGGAGTGCCTATCATCCAATTGATGCAGGTGTAAATAGCGAAATTGCGAGAAAGTTGCGGCCGGTATTAGTTTGAACAATTCCTCGAAGCACTCTACACGATATGTACGATAAAGAATGCAGAGTGGAGCCACATCGAGCATACATCGCCATCGAGCCGATCGGAGATCTATTTACTATCGACGATTCGAGTTGCTCTACGTTGGATGCGGCCCAGGGGGAGATGGTACTGAGGTGCACCTGCAAAGCGATGAGAAGAGTATTCCCTATGCCACCGGACTTGCATCTTATAGATTTGGAAGCGGTGGGTCGGAGTGAAATACTGCCTCGATCAGTTCAGCACACTGAGCTTCTTCGAGGCTAATTTGACCTCTAAGTGTCCCCGAAACTGGACTTCGGTCGATATGTTGATGCCTAGGATTTCGATACTGGCTGTGGTAGTTGGGAAGGTGATACGACAAACGGTATCGTTTTTGCAATGAATCTGTGACTTTTTCAGGTCAAATTGGACTAGGTTTCTTGTGTAGTTGTTGGTTCAAAGCTCCTGATCGTCGGTTCGGTTGTGCGCGTAACTATGCTCATTATGCTAGATTGTAAGCACTTCCTGAACTAATCTTCTTAAAAAATTTTGACACGTTTTGTTTCGTTTGGCTTTGAAGGGCCAGCTAATCTTTCGACTGTACTTTATATTAACTGAAAAATCGGTATACAACTGCCCAAGAAGGGTCTTGACTATAGGTATACAAATCCAATTTCATATCTATCAAACAGTTCTTCCGATTCTAGGTCACATTTCAAATCTTGAAATATCATTGCGCTAAAATATTTTAGAGATAAATCCATTTTGCAATGAGACACACATTTAGACATTTAGTTTACAATAAAATGTGGATGGAAATTTTGAAGAAGCAACCCCTACATGATTGTTTAATGTATATAATCTTATTTATATAAAAATAACAACAAACCCACACATAAAAGGTTTCATGCATAGGGGGAAGTCCCGTAGCGCCGGACGGCACCTAGCGTCGGACACTCAGACTATTTCGATAAACGTCAACGCGATCTATTTATAAATCGGTGAAAGGGGTGCGGGGGAATGTAGCGAGACAGGATCACGCAACGCGATTTGCCAGTGAGGCGCACAGTCGTGGTGGAAGCGGTGGATTGCTGTTTTTGGTGGGCAAGCGTTGCGTCACATAAATTTCAAGTGAGTATTACTGCTATGGTTTTATCCTTAACTGATTTTGTTATTTGTTAATAAAGACAGTGTTTCATTATAATTATTATGCTGTGAAAGTTTTTATTAAATACCTAAACAGTTTTAGTATGAAATACATAATTTTGGACATTTCCTGTCCCCTACTTTCGGACACAAAGGTGTCCCTTACCACCGGACAGTTTATAGGTTAGCTTTTTTATGAAGCATTTGTACTTCTTGTAATGGTGATTGTTTGTTGTTTTACAGGATGGAAGGAGAGAGATATTTGAAAATGGGAGAGAGAAAAAAAGGATAATGGGATCAGCAAAGTCTAAAAACTGCGATGGACAAGATTTTGTCAAAAAAAATGAGTTTGAGGGAAGCTTCGTCACGTTAAAATGTTCCAAAAAGTACTCTACATGACTCTACATGATAAAATAACGACAATCAAGGTCAATGAAGCGTTTACCAAAGTTGTTCGGCTAGATATTGCGGTGTCTGGGTTTAAATGCACAGGAATTCACCCATTCGACCGACATTTATTTTCTGACTTGGATTATTTGCCTTCAAACATGACTAACATTTCACTAGAAGAGCCAGAAACCTCTTTAAACGCACCAAGTTGCAGCAAGGAAGTGATTCCACTGATTTGACCTTGGCTAGCTCATCGACTTCCTATGATAATTTAGCCTCAGAAGAAACGACTGACCCTCCTGAAGAAACTACCAATGTACCAACAATTATCATTCCCAAACCAGCAATGAGACTTAATGTTCATGTTTATCAGACTGAAAAAAAGGTCAGCGGCTCGGAAGAGAAGAAGTGAAATTTTAACGTCACCCTACAAAATTGTTGTTCAAGAAAAAGAAAATGAAAAGAGCCAGAAAGAACAAAAGAAAAGAATGGGTTTAAAACGGCAATAAAAAAAAAAGACTAAATAAACCAAAGATGCGAAGGCAAAAAGAAGACGTGGCAATAACAACAACAAAAAGGAGCCGCTAACTGAAGTATCAAATATAGAAAAAGCTACTTGTGTAGTGTGTTTAGAGGACCACGACTAGGACTGGATACAATGCTCCAGCTGCCAAGAATGGGCTCATGAAGCATGTACAGACGTTCCAGAATGTGGAGATGCCTACATATGTGATAGATGCACAATGTTTTAGAATGTCCGGCGCTTGGGGTTTGAAGATTAACCCGTCCGGCACTAGGTGCCAATGTCCAAGTCCTTTATTTTTTTACCAAAACTTATTTAACATTCCTAAACTATGTTTACGCAGAAGTTGTATTTTTGTTATTTGATTTTGATTTTATGTTTTGTTAATTTAAGTAATTCACAAATAAATACATATTTCTCGATGTAGTTTTAATTTTATTTCCTGAAAACCTTATGTGTCCGTCACTAGGGGACTTCCCCCTACGAGTAAAACCTCCAACTACAATGAGTAGTTGAACAGATAAATAGAATCTGAATAGATTACAAATTCGTTTAATTTCTCAATATTCTTGTCTCAGTAAGAATTGGTATCATCCGCTTAATATCAATGAAGTACCAACTTAATATCTATCGTAAGATTCATTACAAGAAACTTCGATAAACGTACAGGAATGTTGAAAGTTTCCTAAATCCTGCTTAATCTTTGTGAATATTTCGAAAGTCACGTATCTCATTCAAAACATAGATCCGGACTTCAATAATTCTAAGATTTATTTGAGTTTATCCCAAAGTAATAAATCGGTTATATTTAAGAAACAATGAAATTGTGAAACTCACTTTTGCGTGTTTGAATCACAATTCATCAAAAACTGCGTTTATCTCAAAGATTTTATAGTTACATCCAACAGTTTTATCTTTTCCGATAATCAAGACACGATAGAGTTTCTCTGTTTACGTTTTATGGGCGAATTCGAGACACCAATCATCTAGTCACAGTATCTTGGCCCCATCCCGGTGTTAGTATTTCTTCTTCATCAACACGAACAGCAATGAGCACTAGGTCCCAATCTAACATTATAAATTCGAATTCACTTGCAACGTTGCCACTGTTCTAAATTGAGCTAGGGACTAGGCTGTTGTGGTGGCATTTAAGAAGATATTGGTAAGCCTGAGAACTTCTTGGCATTCCTAAGCATACCTTGGCATGCCTTAGAACTTCTCGGCATTCCTAAGGACATCTTGGCAAGCCTGAGAACTCCTCGGTATTCCCGAGCACACCTCAGGACTCCTCAGCAATTATTGAAGGAAAGCCGAAGGATCTCTTGCCATGCCGGGTCTAGTAGTAGAACTTATACTTTTGTGATCCATGATGTTATGTTATTATTACTAGAAAAATTAACGCAATTAATAGGTATTATAATTAAAGTGTTAATTAAAACAATAACGAAAAAGCAAATTTGATCAAATCACAAAATACATTTCTGTGACAAAAAAAAACGAAAAGCAAAGCAATTTCAAGCAATACGTATGCGCATTAATTTATTTAACAATAGCGATCCAGCCTGTGAATAAAATAGTTTTTAATTACTCGTTTTATATACAACGTTGCTATCGACCCATAGTTCAGACGAGTGGTTGTCGGCTGCCGGTGCCCACGTTGCAGGATCAGTATACCAGCTCGACTGTGTATTTGCCTATAATAATATATTAACACATTTGAAAAGGAAATTAGAAAGGTAAGCGGGTTCATCCCTTTTTAGGTTAAACCTATTTTCAAATATTTTTTTAAGAACATTAATCAGGAATCAAAATATAAACACATCTTCAATACGATTTCATTTTAGTGATTATTTGTATTTTTAGTATAACTTAGTCGTGCACCAATATAAACAGTACAAATGAAACGTAAAAAAAATGTCCACGTTCATAAATTGGGTGTAATTTCTTTTGGAAAATTATAACAGTTAATCGGAGTTTATAAATTACATATGTAATTAACATGATTACGTGATATTATAACTGGCACATCATTAAATTACAAAATTAAAAACTTTATTTTTTTTACCAACTTTACCAAGTGTGCCTTTGTATAGACAAAAGTACCTGTATAAGATATTTTTTTGTATTTGCATGGAAAACCAGCTATTGAAAGGAAGAAAAACAGAAAGAAAAAAAAAAGTTTTATTTAACAAATCTGTTTAATTGATTTTGTTAAGCGTAGGTTAGATCAAAAAAGCTATTTACCAATAATAATGGAAATTAATGAATTCATTTATTACTAATGCTTATAGCATTTATATAAATTAATTACTTTGTTAATTCATGACTCTCTCGTCTCGTCTCTCGTCTTACAGCAAGTTGAAGTTTCGGTTTTTATGGGAAACTGGATTGCAAGTCCAGTGTGCCATGGAATAATTTTCTGCTGTCATTTGTTAGCAAAACTGCCTATGCACACAAAGCAAGCTTTAAATGTTGTTGTTAAACGGAAATATTACGTTTACCATTTTAAGCCATCGAAAAGCCTTTTTTTAATACTTTCTTTATTAAGAAAATTCGTATCAAATTTTCGTAAATAGCGCTCGTAAATCGCTTTCGTAAATCAGACTCAAATATAGTCTTTACTATGAGTTCTAGGAGATGGATGAATATTTATTTTAATAAATACTATATCTATTACATATTTGTTCATAGGTTATCGTTTGCATCGTATTGCTTACGGCTACTAGTAAATTATACTACCCATTAGATTAATACAGGTTTAAAGGTTAAGTTAAGGGAATAGATGGTTTTGTTGACAAGTGATTTCATTATTATTGTTAATAATATACACATTAGGAAAGAACCATGAAGTCCATGGCCCAATAAACTCTCATACTAAATTTGTTACAAATACTCCTTTTAAAAATTGTTAATAAGCGTAATGCGTTACATGAGTCAAAAGTCAATGCATGGTCAATAGCAAAAATACTATTTTTATGCATTGCATGTACATATTAGACATTACAACTTTCCTTTTTCTAACTATTCTTTAAAAACTTTAAAATATAAAGGTTATGCTCCAAAGACCCGTACAACATACCCGTAAAATAAATAATATTAAGTACGAATAAAAATTACTTATTAAATAATATTAAAAGATCAACAATCACTTTTACTTATAACAATTACACTATTGCATAATTACGACATGATGACTAATAAATATTGTGAGTGATCTCACATACAGTCGTCTGATTTCACACTAAGAGTAGACCCTGAACCACAGTAACCAGACTGCTGATAAACGTATTAATATATTTTGAATTACAAACTATATTATAGATAAATTAGCTACACCAAGACACCTATACTAACCCGTCTGGCCAGGCAGGCCAAAACCTTTTCTAAGGAGAGATTTATGTCCAGCTGTAGACTATCAACGACTGTTGATGATGATGAAACCCAGACACAGAACAAATGATGGTACTCATTATACAATTTAGCTGGTTTAGCAGTCAGGATCAATAATCGGTAGTCCAACAGGCTAGTCAAGATATGCGTGAGCTTTTCTGACTCCAACACCGTACAGTAAGTACGTTACACTACTATTTCTAGGTTTTGTTACCAGGAACTGAGGAACCATAGGAACTAAAAGAGAGAAGATAGTGTAACCATTTGGTGATATAACTTTTCGATACTATCGTAACACTCTTACAGTGAGTGATTTCGCCGACGGTCATTGTTCGTAAAGTTTAAACTTTTTTAAATTGAATTAGATTTCCTTTATGTTAAAAATGATTTCGAGTATTGTGTGTTACAAATTAATGCATGTGTAACACACAATACTCGAACTTGATTGTGACTGTTTTTCGTATTTAATGTACCTAAGTTGGTTTTATTACATTAAAATGCGCATATCTGAATTTTAAATACCTATTGTGTATTGAAATAATGGACAGTTTTATTTAAAGTTAATTCTGAATATACAATATGTGATAGATTTTATAATTTACTACAAAATCGGAGTAGAATATTGATAATATTTTTATATACACACATTACACACACACAGCCCTACAACATATACTCACACACCATAGCCTTAGATACACACATACGCACACAGACACAGAACACAGGTTTCTGATCTCTTTTTGTTACCTACCCACTCTTTTTATTAGTCTAAATTAATATTGTACTGCGACTTTATTTCATAAAACAAAATGTATGTTACTATAATGGGAGAGGGGACTGGCTTCTGTAACCCAGATTTACCTAGCACAGAAGTCAGGGACTTCATACACTATCTGTACTGTTACGAAAAATAAAGATTAATATTATTATTATTATTTTATTTTTTATTTTTTTTCCGTGCGGAAATCCCCTCGGATACCACCTGTACGGGTCTGTTGTCGTGGTAGATCTTGACAGATAAGCTTGGGCTCGTGGCTTCGATTCTCACCCATTATGATGTATGATGATCATGATAGTATTTTCTATATCTGAGTCTAATTTATCTAAAGCACTTATGTATTAAGAAATATTTAATATGTTTAGCAGTAGTGTGGTTATGATAGTATAGGTATTGCTTAGTTTTGAGTCAGATGGCCGTGTATGTGATGTGTGCGGTTATTATTTATAAACATCAATGTATGTTTGTTTGTATTTTATATGCTCCTTCACGTTCATTCGATTATCATGAAATTATACATACATGTTGTTTTGAATACAGTTAAGTTGCCTTAAATTTCTCGCTACGATTAGTATTATACAACTACACAACATCAACCGCTAGGCCGCGGTCCGCCAGGCATAATAGCCTCGCCTGGTTAGGAAATCCTCCCTTTGTATTTGAGATAGCGCGTTCCTCTTCTCCTGTAACTTGTTGTGCCTGTTCGATTACCTGGTCATATATTTCTACATTATAAAATAAATCACTGTACAAAAAGTTACTCAATTAAAAAAGTGTCACATAATTTAGTGAAAAATTAAATAAATTAGAATACAATTACAATTGATATACGCACTTACTTAAATATATGCAATTTCTAAAATAACAAAATGGATTTAAAGCAACTTCCATTTACAACATTAAATACATACTCGTATGTTCTTGTTTCTTGAGGTCTTCCATACAACTTTGACGACTCTGACACGTGTTAGGAGGTGGGTTCGATATCCGCTAAGCGCAAATATTTTCATGCATGAATAAAAGGGATGAAATAATATTACTATTATTATATAATTTAAAAGTAGCAATTATTTCCATCACCTATGAATATTGTGAATAGGTTTTTTTGCATTAGTATGTAATATGTATATAATAATATGTGCGTTATACATTTATAGTTTATGCGTTATTTAAGAGATACACGGGTTGCCTACATTGTGTTTATTTAGCTGTGCCATGTGCCAGGATATTTCGTTCGTAGTATACGTGAGATTACTATTTTAATTATACTAAGGGAACGTACCCAACTACGTGACCAATTCAGGGGTGCGGTGGGGAGTAGAATATTCTTCGAAACCCCACGCTTGGTCACAGTTGGGTTAGGTATTTTACTTAGTCAATATCATAAATGACAAGTGCTGTATTAATTAGAAAAAATATGAGCCAAATATTATTTTTTAACTTTCTAAAATAATTTAAAACCATATCTATGTTTACCTTAGTGAATACTAGAGGGAATGTACGGACAATTGTTACAAATAGTATAGCGTTAAATTGAAATGCATCGAAACTTTCGATCGAATACTTAAAACTCGAATATTTAGTGAAATACCCGTTGACCGTTGACTGTTGAAAGGTCATTATGTTTTTATTTGCATACAATTAAAAAAATTATCGGATATTTAATGATTAAATTGAATTTAAAACGTCACGGATATGTTTATTCATTAATATGAAAACATTTGGTGGTCCTTTTATTACTATAATACGTACCTACCTACACAGTATTGTGACATTTTCGACAAAAAGTGAGCAAATCAAATTTAAAATAATCTCTAACGTCTTCTTCTCCGTCGTCACACTCTTGTCAGAGTGGTCGTGGTCGTCATGACCGGGGCGGTGGCAAGCTTCACAATTTGTCGCCATTCCTCTCGTACCGTTGCTTGCCTCGTGCATTCGTGGAGTGGACCGTGAATCATTCGTGAATCTCTAACGTACTACAAGACAATCTGAATTCGAATGTATGAAAGGCTATGCTATGTTCTGGAATACTAGATACGTTGTATTTTTTATACATATACTAACTGTTAAATGCGACTTCGTTCGCGTTTAATTTGAAAGTCGTATCGGTCCGGAAATACCGCAGATTTAACCCGTTCCACAGATTAGTTCTACGATAATGATATTTTTGTGTTATGAATCTAAATTTTCTCGTAATTAAAAGGTACGCCAAAAATAAAAGCTTTAATTAAATCTATAATCTGAAAATAAACATGCCATCTATAATATCTAGTCACATAATAACAGACGGCTGAAATTTAAATTTAATTTTTACTATTGTTTTTAAAGAGTTCTACATTTTTACATGAAATAATTAAAATAAATTTTTTGCTCAGTATCGACAGTGGCCCATAACTTTTAACATACTTTTTCTCTCTTTATAATTATCTCTCAACTTATTAAGTTACTTATCATTGGTCGTTTTAATTACTTTTTTAATTATAACGTATTTATTAAGGAGACTTTGAAATCATGTTAGGTCATTTGTGCGGCATATAATTATACGATATTCAAAATCATTAAGTGGTAGGTAAAAAAAGAATTAACATAGCTTCTTAAGTAATGAGGTTGGTTTATGTTATTGTGGCTATATGGCTGGTAACTTTATACATTAAACGTGATGTTTTTAATTCGATATTATTATTACATGTATTCTACAAAAAGTCCGAATGGCATATAATAAGAACAAAAGAATATCGTCAAGTAATGTTTTGATGTATTTTGGTTCTTTTAGATCGCTTCTTTTGATTTTTATTACGCAACGTGTATATTCAAAGCTGTTAAGAGTATTCAAATCGTGTTTCATATTTAAAATTTGACAATTTACAATATAAAAAGGGTACCAAAAAGATAAAGACGCTTTTTAGGACAGGTATATGTGGCCGGAGAAAAACTGAGTCAGTGTTCTTAAAAAATGATATGCATTTGTTTTTTCTACAGATGGCACCGACAACAATATCAGAGGATAGATTGACTTCTGGACACCGCCTGTCTCACCCACCGCCTGGAGAAGAGATTCTCATCTCTGGAGTATCAGGCTACTTCCCCGACTCAGACTCCGTCATACACCTGCAAGAAAATCTATTTAATAAGGTGAATTTAAAACAAAAAACCGAATTTATAATATTCGCTATCTTTGACGGATCAAGAATACGGAGTGTATTCACCCCTATTCATCTCGTGAGGGTCGTGAGATCCGATTAAGGGAGCAAACTACGCAGGACAGCAGCACTGCAAAGAGAAGGAAAACTTGACACAAACCTTACACCAACTGTCTGGCCAGTGTGGTATAGTAGGCCAAAACCTCCCTTTTTAGGAGAGGCATATGTCCAGTAGTGGACTATTAAGGCTGTTGATGATGATGATGAATACAGTCCGACTCACGTAATAGCACACATTGTCTTCAATCGTGCACTATGGGATCATCAACAGCCTTTAATGCCACTATGGGATAAACACAGATAATGAAATGGAGTATATTGAGGGTAGCTAAAAATATAATGACAATGAATGAAAAGCGATAATATTTCGTACTCTATGAGGACATTCTACAGCTCAAGTCACATCCCTGTAACTTTTCGAAATTAGAAGTCCTTTATTTAATAACAAGGTAACTGCATGAGTTCCTACGTGATTTGATGACTCTACACTTTATATATATATATAACGGGTGTTATTATACATATCACAAAGAATGAAATAACAGATAACACAGTTCAATATACGTCGGTTAAAATAAAAAATAAAAAAATTAGTACGAAAATACAGAAATGCAAATTTAGAACAAACTAAATACAATAAAATAATTGCCGAATTAGAACACCATTGATAACATGAGTCGGGGAACTGTACACGGTAGCGTCGCAATGTCGACGACATTAAAGCGACGCCGCCGCCGCGACGAGCTGGCGAACTTGACATTCTTATTACCTACCTACTAATCACTTCACTTGCTTTTTAAAATCTATTTATTAAAAATACGATTTTATTCTCGTGTTTATTTTGGGAATGTTCGACTAGCTTCAACATGTGATTACCGCGCCGCGTATACAGCTGATTGCCGCCTGAGGTCAATGTATTATGACTGCATGTACACATAATGTTGCGAATTACGAAAACTAAAAAAATGACCTGTTTCTAAACCACTGAATATTTTTTGTTCATATTTTACAAATCGTCTAGAAATAAAGTGCAGAATATGTGGTGTACAGATTCGGGATAAAATAAGTGATACGCTGTATATATATATACAGGGTGTAAAGGACATCGTAACGAATACTGAAATAATGTATTCAGACCATCATTCTGAGTAAAAATGGAGGAAATTTCTGCCGGATAAATTATCCATATTATTTTCCATTTTATTGGTTAAAAATTATGAAAAATAATATATCAATGCGTAAACAGAACATTTTACTAAAAACAATTCAAGAAATAATATATATAATAAAATTAATCAAACAGTTGAAGCGCGCGGGGCCTGCCCCCTGCCGCCAACTTGTGTTAGTGTGCGTAGACTGTTTGTAAGAAATACAAATGTAGTTATTACTTTTATGGGATACCTACGGGGATTGAAAGCTGATTGCATAAAACATTTAATTTTCCGGCAGAAAATTCCATAATAATAATTAAAATAATCAACTTGCTTTCAGTCATAATCCAACGGACAACACTTACATGACCCGATTTTGTCCGTTTGACTTGTGTGCTGCTGTATCGTTTACACATCCAAATCAACCCATTCATAAAAAAGACACAGGTCTGTGCACTCACCGCAAAAAGATACCATTTGTCGTATCACCGTATCACCTCAGTTTGAGAGCACCTCCCTAACTGCCTCAGCCAGCATCGGAATCCTAGGTATCGACATATCGAGCGAAGTCCAGTTTCGGGGTAACTTAGAGGGTAAGGTCAAATTGGCCTCGAAGAAGCTCGTTGTCCTGAACAGATCGTGGCAGTTTTTCACTCCGGCCCACTGCCTTCAGCTCTATAAGGCGCTAGTCCGGTCGGATATGGAATACTGTTCTTATCTCTATGCAGGGACACCTCAGTACCAGCTTCTCCCTCTGGACCGCATCCAACGAAGAGCGATTCTACAATAGCCCAAACATCTCCGATCAGCTCGCTCCCTTGGCGTTACGTAGAGATGTGGCTTCACTCTGCATTCTCTATCGCATATATCATGGAGTGTGCTCCGAGGAATTGTTCGGACTAATACCAGCCTCAAATTTCCGTCATCGTTCCACACGGAAAAATTTTCATCCTCATTACCTGGATAGTTGGCGCTCCACTACTGTGCGCTTTTCGAGACACTATTTGCCCCGCACAACTAATCTGTTACGGATTATTTTCTGCGGTATTTCCGGACCGATACGACCTTCAAACCTTCAAGAAAAGAGTGTACTCCTTCCTAAAAGGCCGGCAACGCGTTTGTGACTCCTGAGTTGCAGACGTTCATGGGCAGCGATAATCACTTTCCATCAGGTGACCCGTCTGCTCGTCTGCCCCCTTAACATAAAAACAAAGTGAGGATTTACGAAGATTACAGGCATCTTTTTTTCTGTTCAGGTGGATCTTATCTCCGGAGATGCTCGTCGTTGGAAACTTGCTCACCCTGAAATCCCTCAGCGGACAGGAAAGATCAACAATGTCAATAAGTTTGATGCTTCGTTCTTCGGCGTGCACTACAAGCAGGCCCACACAATGGACCCTATGTGCAGAATCTTGCTCGAGAAGGCCTACGAGGCTATTATTGACGCTGGTAAGTAAGCGTGCAAGAAGTCTATTGGTATTATACTATAATAGTTGCGCCCCGCGATGTAACCCGCAGTTTATCAGATACACTAAAACGTGTCTAACTTAATCGGCAATATATTTCATTTCCATCCCTCGGGAACACTATATTTTTTTTTGGGATTAAAACTAGCCTATGTAATAATTTTATTAAAATTGGTTCAGCCTTTTGAGTGTGAAGAAGTAACAAACAAACAACTGAGTGCTGTGAGTCCGATCCCCACATGGGGCGACACTTTATGTGATCCACAAATAGTTGTTCTGAGTCTAGGTGTTCTTTGTGTCCGTTTCATGTATGTTAGTAAAGTCACCCGCGATACAGGATATATTCCTAATGCGGGAGTTGTATGTTAAAAAATAAATAAATAAATTAAAATAAACACAAACACTCACAAATTTTTGCCTTTGTCTGTCTTACTTTAAGCTTTAAAAATAATATTTCATGTTAAAAAATCTACATTTCTTTTGCTCACAAAAACGTTTTACTCGTTAGCTTGCCTCGGAAATGGAAAATGGGAAATATTAAGTAATTTTTTAGTGGAAAAAAGCCTTATAATAATAATTATATTACCACACATTTATTTATTTCCACCAACTAGGCAGAGCCCATACTATGGTAATCAGAATGCTAATAAACATATATACATGTTAGTATAAAACCTACGCAGGGTGTGTTATGAAATGCAATATACAGTAAGTTAAGATTAAAGACACGGAGTTAGGGTGATCACCCGGGCGGAAAACGGTTCATTTTGGGTCCCCTTCTTCTTTATTCACAATCAGCAACATTGATTTCAGATATTTTTAAAAGACCCCTTTAAACACCGTAACGTAACACCCTTTAATTATTTATCATAACTGGACCTTAAAATCGTTGCGAATAACATAGAAATTGTATGAAAGTAAAATAGGCATTCGAGTAATTCTGTCTCTATTAACGTCCAAACACTTAAAACTATCACATAATTTCACAATAATTAAAATATTAATTAAATAAATATTTTGAATACTGTTTTTCAATTGTTTAAATTTAAACAATTACTTTCCTTCATTCAAAATTTATTTAAAACTTTAAAAGGATATCGTGTTTCTAAAACTTCATTAATTTTATTTGACATTTCGAAATAGATAGCGTTATGTAATGTTAAAATAAAATATTTGTTGACGAGAACCTTTCTTTTGTAGGAATCTATCAATCAATTAATATGACTTCTATTTGCCCTGTATTCGTATTTTGTATTAAATTTTATTAATTCGCTTGGATATAATAAGAAAAAATATATATAAGCAAACTGTACCTACCCGCAGATCCCAATATTAGCGTGTTAGAATAAGCAAACAATAATTACAAGAACATGGCATACTGGAAATGAATACAAAGAGTATATAAATGCGAATTTCGCCCACCAGAACATCTCTGCAATTTTCATTACTATAGAAATAAATTAGAACAAAATAGCTTAATAACCTTTTCTCTTTTGTACATTATTTGTGTCACTTTTTTATTGATTAGTAGCTTCAGTATTATCAAAAAAGAAAAATCAAACCTTTAGTGGAATATCAGTGGTTTATTGTACTATGACCGACTATCAACTTCAGGGCAAACGTTAATAAAATATCTATTCTTTATCGCACATTAAATTTAGGAATATTCGGGATATTCGCATCGTTGTAATAGATTCCAATATTTAGTACCTACACTACCTGTTCAATCAATGAAGCTGCCTTTCTTTGTGGGTAATGGTGCCAATTTGTCTATATCATGAGTCGGAAGCACTTGGACGAATTAAATCCGTAACGGGAGCAATTTTTAGCATTTGATTGTTCAGAGTCCTTAACAAATTGCTTTGAATTTGAACGATTCAAGAATTTCTTTTTTGTACTTTGATGACTTAGGACTCTAGACTCAGAAGCACGAATTAGGTATATGTATTTAGCTTTTTTATATCTGCTTTGCTTTTTTAAATTCTTTTTTAAGTCTTTTCTGTAGAATCAAAATATATCCATACCAAATTTTGTCTAAATCGGTTCATACAAACTTCCACTCCCCTTTTCACCACCTTAAAGGATGATTTATTGGATAAAAACTACCCTATATCCTTTCCCGGGACTCAGAATATCTCCATACCAAATTTTATTTGAATCAGTTCTATAATTGGCGGTGGTCACTCACCATCGGTGACCCCTTTGCTCATCTGCTCCCCATTCTATAAAGATTAATACAGTGATGATGGTACGAAACGCGTGCTCACTAAGATTATTCGGTTTAAATAGAATATCCGGTGTTGCCATTTGATCGATGATGCGAATCTAATATATATCAGTAGTTTCATATAACTTTGTTTTCCTCATTATTTCAAACCAAGTCGATCGCAACTCGTCGCAATTTCTCTCAAGTTAGTTTCAATTAGCTGCTGAACTCTCTCCCATTACAACTTTCTTCATACCTAGCTGCTGCTCGCGACTTTGTCTACGTAGAGATCATTCATAAAACGTTCCTCCTGATCATTGCAAGATAGGCAGGTTGTCAGTGGCAGTTAGTTGCCACCATCTATGTATTGGTCAACCGAGGAAGCTAATAGCTAAGCTAAGGAAAATAGCAGACAATTACAGATAGGCTTATCAAAGCAAGGATTCCGGAGGCTTTGTCTCGAGGTCCAGCTGTTAGTAGGCAGGACACTTCAATGAGGAGCACACTACGCGGCGGTGGCAGTAGGTGTACAGTGGAGGCAGCGGGGGCGCGTCAAAAGGTAGCAGATGAAAAAGAAAGATTTTCCCCCTTTATTTTGGTTTATTTTAAAGCTATCGAAAATAAAGATGACTAAAATAGTAGACTTTTCCTAAGAGTACGTAGAAATGAATTTATTGTGACTGATGGCGTTATGGTTTATGTAATCACCTCGCTACTACCTACAGCTCACCGAATGTAGCTCACAAAATGTCACGTCTAGGTGTTCTTTTAAATGTTCGTTAAGACAAGAATCATTCTCAGCAGAGTTGTCTTCTATTGCCGTTTTTACACAACAGAAACAGGCATTATTCATTGGTATTATCATATTTGTACAATGGTCATATTTGTAAAAAAATTAAAGTTTGATAATTAAAAGGATTTCGCCATTTAATGATTTCTTTACCAATAAAAGTACACTTAAAGTAAGAAAAAACAGAGAAAGTATCATATTAATATATTCTACGTACGTTTCATATTAATATATTCTCAAGTACATGGATGTCATCTGTAGTACTTATGACTGTAGCAGCTTTATGTGATATAATTGAATAATTCTGGAAGCTAGGGATCATGGCTAAGACACATTATATAATTTATGTGACGGCTCACTATCGTGCAGCCTTAAAAACTTGATTCTCATCTAACCACTACGTGGTTAAAAATTGAATATTATGTTACCTTTCAACGACCGACCAGCGACAATCTTTCCGACCCTAATATATTGTATCAATAACCAAGGAAGCTTTAGCAATGTTGAAAAGATTTTTTTACCTACCTGGTCTAATTCATGCCCCAATATCTCACTGTTCATAATAACAAGATTGTTATCCTCATCTTTTCATTCCTTTATTTCAAATTATTTGTGGGCGATAAGAGTTCTTCACAAAGTAAAAGGCGTTCAGGAAAACAATTTCTAGTAAGTGGAAAATCTAAATGTAATTTAATGTTTCAACAAATAAAACTTGATTTATAACAAAGCGTGAATCAATTTTATGAATCATTTCAATTTTCATTCATGAAACACATTTCATACAACAACGCTTGCCGCGTACTTTTTTATATTTATTTACCTTTACCTATATACGTACTAACTAAAGATCTTTTAGTACAATACCTTACCAGAATAACTAAGTAATATTGAGGTAAATATAAGGAAACATGCTTTATTTGCAGTAGCACATTTTAGGCAGTTTTCCGCTCGCCTCAAGAAGGAAGCAGAATATTTTTTCTTTCAATGTACATATATTTAAAACAATTTTATCTTTGACTAAAACTCTTACCTACAATGAAAAGATTTTACCAACAATTTCGAATCGGATGCAAAAGGACGTCCCGTTATCTTTAGATCCATTAAAAGTTCTAAGCCACAGAGTAATTATAACTCAATATTGCCTTTGAGACAAGCCGCAGAATTCAAATTTGTTCATTTGATAATAAAAGTTGAGAAGTGGACTTGATCACGTAGATTTCTTTGGTAGTACAGTGGCATTCGACGTTCCTAAATTAGGGAGACTGATAACTTTTGAGATAGATGTTTTAGTCTTTAATGATTTTAAAAGTTGTTTCTCGAAAAGATTTAAAATGGTTTTTAGTCTACTTTTTCAGAAAAAAATACCAGTAGTATAAAATAGGTTATTTGATGTGATGTACAAATTATTTATTGGGTTAGTAATTTGCGAGAAAGATGAATTTACATGCCAACACGTGAGTGATGCTTCTGGGTTTTTCATTTGGTAATTTCAGATTTTTTACTTTATCATATTAGTAGGTAGCTACATAATATTTTTTCTTTTCAACGACATATCCTTTTTTAATCAAAACCACATAATATCCAAATACGGCTTACTATATTATATCACAGAACATGAGGTGCCGATATATAATATAAAATCCAGAATTACAAAACCTCCCTTTCCTTCGATGCCTATTAATAAAAGATTATGACGTGACAGTCTCGTTGAATAATTCAACAGTCTGATGGTATAATAATGTATTCGATTTTATACCCTTGATAAAATATCATATACTCGATTTGATAAACCGTCAAATATTAAAGTTAGATGTCAATGTAAGTATAATTTTCTTGTGTTAAAGTTATTTGGAAGATATTGCTTCTATTAAATTTTCAGGTTTTTGTAGTGTTGAGATGACTAACTTTATCAATCGCAAAGGCTTTATGAGGGGACCTCAAACAGATTGGTTAACCAATTATCCAGTATAAGGCTAATTGTTATAAACACCATGATTTAGATTCGGCAAAACGGTTTTTGAAGATAATTTGAAGATAGTTTGACTGCGCGGATGGCGTAGGGGTTGAAGCGGTCTTGTGTGTCAGATCCCCACTTGAGACCACACTTTGTGTGATCCACAAATTGTTGTTCTGAGTCTGGGTGTTCTTTGTGTCCGTTTCATGTATGTTTGTAAAGTCCCTCGTAACACAGGATATATTCCTAATGCGGGAGTTGTCATTTCTTTAAAAAAATAAAAATAATTAAGTATGTGTACATAGTTTTCTACACTTTCGGGTTTTATTTTTTTCCATGTATATTTTAAGTGGGTTAAGTTTCTTAAGTAGGTTGTTTCTCTCGTCTATGCCTAGTCGTTAGAGTTTAAAAAGATAAATGAGGAGATCCAAGGCTAGATCTTAGTCTTCTATAAACACCACATGTATGTATGTATGACGTAGATTTGTTTAATAATAATAAAAACTCGTATTGATAATAATTTTATATTTAAAAAAGAGATTAGATAACCCAAAGTATATTTGATACTTTATGCACAATTGAAATGCCACAGGCATTTTTCTACCTTAGGGTGATGTGTAACGGCAAGACGCACGCTTTCGGGAGCACAAAGGGACCAGGGGGATTCCTACAGAGGAGCCGGTCATCTACACGCCGTAGGTGGCCCGAAGTACGTCGGGGCACCAGTGATTTCCTTTCTAGGGTACACCTGGTTTCCCGGCTACTGGTACTCGAGACATGGTGCGCTTTCAGTCGATTCGAGTCCGACATAACCACTACACCGATGGGTGGTATCTCAGGGAATATACATATATGTATGCAGGATATATAAATACGCACACAACAAAAAAGGGTGGTGCGTAGATGAGTGACTAGGTGCACTGTGACTAGGTGCACTAGATTTAAATGGATAAAAAAAGAATTAGCAAGTTGTCAAGAAACAAGACGCATTTTTTCGAAATAGAAAGTAAACATACCTGATTTTAACCCATTAGTTATTTAATATGCAAGTCATATCGAGTTGTAATTAAAAGAAGTACAAACTGACATATCTAGTACAAGCTAGCAATAAGTAGCTTATGTTAATCGCTGAAAATGTAGCTTTCCATTGGTGAAAGATTTTTTAAATCGGTTTAGTGGTTTAGGCTTGTGAGCCTAACAAACAAAGACACAAACAAACTCACTTTCACTTTTATAATATCACATGGATAATATAGTAAGTAAGGATGCATTTTGTTAACAGGTGTTAATCCCAGGGAACTTCGGGACACAAAGACTGGTGTGTTCGTAGGAGCTTGCTTTTCGGAATCTGAAAAAACTTGGTTCTACGAAAAGATGCAGGTCAACGGCTTCGGTATTACTGGGTAAAACAACCTTGTTTTTATTTTAATGAAAAATAATGATATTTTTAGACAGAACCTAAAAATAGAAAACATGAAGATTGAGAAAATCCTCAAAATCAAAACCATAGAAGTTTTAGTAACATGCGATTTGCTAAACATACATTAATATTTTTACACATGTAAGATATAATTTCGTTCGGTTCGGTCGATCGGTTAAAACTTTTTAAGTATGTGTCATTTTGGTCAGATTTTATTCTACATTTAGACACAGTAGCTTAGATTATTAAATTCATTTAAATACAAAGGCAGCTAAAGCTATTAAAAGCGAGTTCGCGCTTCAACTGCATTCACCGGTCATTATATTACAATTGTGTGCCGGAGTTAGCAAAGCGTTTAAAACTTACCGTAATTATTTTTACATAGCAATTTCTATTGTTATAGTTTAATTTCTCTATAAACTGAAAATGGACATAGAAATATTCCTGGGCTAGTCTTATGTCTAGAGTTACAAGAAGTATTAAATTATTTTACTCCCTTGGCGATGAAATTGCCAAAAATCCTTTCTTAGTGGGTGCTTACAACATAAAAAGTATCAGCTGCAAAATTTCTAGTTTGTAGCCCCAGCGGTTTGGGCTCAGCATTTATGAATTTATTAGTAATTTTGTATGTATAGATTAACGCATAAGGATGAGATATTTGAGCAACATGCGATGCTTAAATACGACCCTGCCCTTCTAAAGGATGAACGCCGTAAAGGCAATGTATGTGAGAAACAGACTTTGCGCACTGTTGCCTCAAGTAACTTCTTTTGTTTTGCCGGCCAATATGAGCCAATATGGCAAAACAAAAGAAGTTACTTGTTAAATTATCTCTATTTCTTTGTTAAATTTATCATAGAGATATCTCTATGATAAATTTAACAAAATCTTAAATATATACCCTCTGCCCACAACGAAATGTAAAGCTGTAGTAAGTTTATTTCTATAAACCTTAGACTATGAGGCTACTGAACAACTGTTTCCACCTATTTAGTGGTAATTAACCGGTCCAATAGGTCAGACTGAGGAAATATACCAAATTATATCAGTTTGCACCGCAGCTTCACTACATTTCTTCCTTTTAAATTCTCGCATCCACACATACTCGTACTTGCATAACTCACTTCTCATAATTAACACAATACTCTCACACACATTATCACACACTACCACTGCACACATTATCCATACAAGCACTCTCAAAGCTTCTGGTTTCTTTAACTTTAGTTAAATAGTTTTTGTATTTATTCTTTGTTTTAATTCCTTTTCTAACATTGTATCCTACGTTTTTGGTTCATTAAATCTAAGTAGGTACATGCAGTACATGGGAGGTTACAGGTTGTGCATTAGCAAAAACCCAGGCGGGCAACAACAGGCACCAGTCTCTCACAATGTTCAATGTATTGGCACATTATTGTTGTTAAATGTTAAGAAAACCATTGTGATAAGAAATAAATTATTATTACATATCTGGATACTGACTATTTTACAAGAAAAAAATGTCTCCTACATAGAAATACCAGTATTTTATATAGAATATTCTTAAAAGAAAATAAATTTCTACATTTCTTTACTCTTTGTAACTATATATTATATACACCGAAATTGCGATAAGAATAAAAAAGGGCCCAAGAAAATAATGTACATGAAAGGAATAAGAAAAAATATTTTAAATATGTTAAAAATTCTTTCAGATGTTTTGATGATGGTAATGTCAAGGCATTCAAATGTATAAAAATTAACGAACTTAATGTAGAAAAAGTTGATATCATGCTTCTAATGTCGTTAGACTTACCAAAATAGCTTCAATAGTTAAAAAAATATGGTCTTTCACTAGGCACAAGTCCTGTTTTTCTATTCAACGTGTGCTACGTTTTGTATAGATACATTTAAATATATTTTAAAAAGTTATCAGAAAGTTTATTAACAGACATATACTGATATTATATAAGGCTACAGCCTCATGAAGACTGTCAGATTAAATAACTACACTCGGAGAGTGACCAAATGAGTGACGACATGACCCAAATTTTGTATTTTTTTATACGCGAACACTTTAATTCTACAATTAGCTAAATAATCTGTAAATATAGTAAAGACTTCTTATTATAAAAGTGTTAAGATTTAGACAAAGTTTTCTCTTACAGGTGCTCCCGTGCTATGCTGGCCAATCGAATCTCTTATTGGTTGGGAGTGACTGGGCCTTCGTACACAGTGGACACTGCTTGCTCAAGTTCTCTCTACGCCTTAGAACATGCCTTCAGGGCCATCCGTGACGGCCACTGTGATTCTGCCATCGTCGGAGGATCTAACCTTTGTCTTCATCCTTACGTATCATTACAGTTCTCCAGGTAACTAATTAATTTAAATCGTTCATAGCTGGTATTACTTTCAATCTCCTCTAGTGAAATGTACTGCTTTTTTTTTAAAACATAGATCTTTATCTATGTTTATCTGTATTAAATATTATTTTTAAGTATCTTATATACTTTTATATTTACAGGTTAGGAGTATTATCACCAGACGGCAGCTGTAAGAGTTTTGATAACAGTGCCAACGGTTATGCCAGATCTGAAGCTATCGTTGTAGTCTTTTTGCAAAAAGCCAAGGATTCCAGAAGGTAATAATACATATTCGGACAGTATCGACCCTTTCTAATTTAATAGATAAAGTAAGATTGAATGGCAAATCATACAAATAGAACTGATTTAAAGATTTGAGGTGTATGGGTTCTAAATATGTGTTTGGTATGAATATTTCTTAGGGTGTATGCTCAACTTCTCCACGCCAAGACTAACTGCGACGGTTATAAAGAACAGGGTATCACTTACCCAGCTGGTCAGATCCAGAAACTTCTCCTCAGTGAGTTCTACGAAGAGTGCTCCATTCCACCGTCCATCTTAGAGTTTGTCGAAGCTCACGGCACAGGTAAACATATATCAATTAATGACGTAGTTTGCAATTACTTATGATAATAAAAAATGCACAGAAAAAATAATACAACCTAAAAAAATGTTTCTTTGAGTCCTACCTTTATTTTTTTCTGTTACGGCTATTTAGTAGGATTATATGATTTCAAATTATCTTTTATGACTAACCAACTTACATTTAAACATAAATAACAAGTTTTATGTTGTTCATATTGCTCACTTTCCTGGCTCCTTTAAGCTTTTAAAAAGAAACAGCGCACTCAGCTGGTGCAAAGTGAAAACTTATAAAAGAGAAATAAAAAAAATGATAGGCAAAGTTTCCGAGTGGAGTTAAAGTCCAACATTCAAATAAAATACCCATTTTGCTACAGATGCAGTTATTGCTTATTAAAAAAATCTATAAGCATGACTAATATTGATATTTAGAAATAATTATTTTTTGTTTGAAATATGTGTGCCTAAAAGTACGGGAATTAAAGTTTAAATTGGCCTTTATTCTCTTTTCATCATTAAATTTAATGAAATACTAATTTTCTTATTACTCATTACTTAGAGCAGCGTAAAATTATCGCAATTTTGAATTATTTTCATGTTGTACAGGTCGCTTAGTACAAAGTACCATCTATTACGTCATAAGTAATGTTACGGGTAATAAGATATAAAACATCTGTCTGCAAAAATAAAACACTTTTAAGACCTCTGTTATAGCTGTTAAATATAAGAGCAAAGTTTTATAAGCTTTTAGACAATTTTCATTGCTACCTAAACTGTCCTAAGAATGCTTCGTGTAAAGGCGAAATACATATTATTTCTTGATAATGGAAGACAACACCTCTGTCACAACCACACAATGGTAGGAAGTAATTGATAAATTTACAAATATATAATATACTTGTATATTTATCAATTGTCATATCAATGTCAAAAATATTAAATATTTTTCACATATATTAATCAGTTTTCACATTATTATTACAGTATTAATAATACCATAATAAAAAAAAATATAGGTATGCGTCATAAAGGTCCTTTCTTAAAGATTATCCATGACTTGTAGCGTTACCAGAAGTCTGACAGACAAGAAAATAATAATTTTACAATTATATAAAGAAGATAAAATATATATGACAATCAATATAAAGAATTATTATTCTACAATTATTTTAAAAATCTCAATTTTAATGAACGATTGACTTTGATGAAAATTATTTGATACATTGGTATTTGTTTTTTTTTGTTCTTATTCTATTCTTCACATATTTACTTAAATAGAAATTCTAACCTAGGATTTAAATATGACGACGACGAAATAATTAAATGTGTGTGATGTATGTTCATATAATTTAAAAGCATGCAGATGGTCCATTATCGTCTTCTAATGCCTGAAGAGAAAATTAAGGATTTTATGAACTCTTCAAAAGGAAATCGGCTTTTCGTTGATAGCGTTTTACATTCGGCGTAGATTCCTAATTCGTTAAATTAATTCGATAAAATAATTACCTTGGTTACGGAAGTAACGCACTTAGCCAATAATTTAATATAAAATATAACTTAGTTAGAATTGTTCCTTCCTATAATGTTACTAAAAATGATTTCCTTAAAATGAAGGCGCATGCTTTAAACTAACGGACCAAGAAATTTCTGTAAAGCAAAAGTATTAACAAGTAGACTAGAGATTGTTGAATATTTTCAGCTAGAATTACTTAAACAAGGCTGTAGATTAAAGCTAGTAAATTAAAAGGCAATATTTAAAAGCTTGCTTCATATTCTATATGGAGGGCTTGAATATTTTATAGACGAAATACCATTAGCCTAGAATGAGCGAGACCAGTTAAGAATTGAATTAATACTGATTTGTAGACGGAGCATTGCGAGAATTTCATTGATGTTCACAATTTTTCCTTTTCAGGTTTAAATAAACATTGGCTCTTGATTATGTTATGAACGAGTTTAACGTACCAAAGCTGTTATTTTTTTGTGCAGGAGTCTTAAATATAAGAAGCATAATAATGAAATAAACGATATAAATAAACTCATTGCCTTTCTTCTGTAATATTAAAAAAAAATACAATTTAGTATTATGTTATTTGATGTCAAGCAATATCAAATAACATAATAGTTTTGGTAAGAAATTATTAAATTTTATTGTCAGAATAGAAGAATGTGCAAAATAAATATTTGATTTACAGGTACTAAAGTAGGAGACCCTGAAGAGTTAATGGCTATAGACGAGATCTTCTGCACCGGTCGCTCTGACCCGCTTTTTATTGGTTCCATCAAGTCCAACTTAGGTCACAGCGAACCTGCCTCTGGACTGTGCTCTGTGGCTAAGGTGAGTTAACTACCCTACTTGTACATTGGTTTACTGCTGAAAACTTTAATACTTTTAAGCCTTTGTGATATATTACTAGTAAGTGTCCATAGGTGCGTAGAATTTGTTCCGTACAAGTTATCATCTCCTATTTTATTCCCTTCAAATACGCACAAGTACATTATTCTTTCATTTACTCAACAATTGTCCGTGACGGCCAGTGGAATAACTACTCAATAGAATAAAAAGAAATCAAAATTAATTTAGACATTTATAGTTAAACCGCCGTAAGCTTGGCCCTCCTGATGGTTTGGGGGACGCGGGGCGGGGGGGCATTCAACCAATTAGCTAGTGCGTCACTGTCCGCCGGCAGTGACTGACGTGAAAGCATGGCTGTACGTGTTTTTTTTCTTAAGACTGCTACACACGGTATTATTTTGCAATATGGATAATCTGCCGACTCTGCTGCGTCACAAAAAGATTTAAAAACTTGAAGTTCGGCTTACAGAGGTTCTACTGTTAAAGTTCTAATAAAGAATATTTATTATTTTACTTAATTTTTAAATTGTATCTGAATATAATTTACATGATGAAGATAAGGTGATTTGATTAAAATTATTTTACAGTATTAAATTTTACAATTAATCATAAAAACTTACAATACACTGACATTATAATACATGGAAATAAATTCGATTTTTATTACATCGTGTGTAGATTAAACATCAAACAAATAAATCTGAAGATATTGAGTTAGTTCATCGTGTCATGTATAGCCGAGCGCAACACCCGCCCCGCGTCCCGCAAACCATCAGGAGGGCCAAGCTTACGGTGGTTTAACTATAGGCTTAAAAACGTAACATATATACACAGAGAGAGAAAGAAAGAGAGAGAGAATTGACTGAACGAATTGTCTTTTTGATCAGATTGTACTGACCGTAGTTATAGACTGACTACTTCGCAGAATTCTTATTACAACAGAATTTAAAAAAATAAATAATGAATTTTATGTTAACTATTGTCTTAAATTTTTTTTTACTTTTCCAGCTCTGCATTGCCTACAGCACCGGTTACATTCCACCAAATCTTCATTTCACTGTTCCCCGTGAAGGCGTAACAGCATTAGCCGAAAACAGGTTAAAGGTCATAACAGAAAAGCAACCATGGAATAGAGGCATGTCTGGAATAAACAGTTTTGGTTTTGGAGGAGCCAATGCTCATGTCTTATTAAAGAACATCGCTAGGGACAAGGTAAGAAAGATTATCTCTTCAAAATGTATTTAAAAAAAAGGTGATAAATTGGCAAAATATGTACCACTAGACTTTTATATCAAGAAGATAAAAATAGAAGAGTATTGATAACCCTTATTTCCGTCTATTGCCGTCAATTAAAAACGGGTAAATTAAAAAAATATCGAAAGGTAATAGTAAGCATACAAGGGCAAATAGTGCAGTTTAAAATACATAAAATTATCTAAATTATTTTCTTTTTTGTAAATAGAACAAACAGCCAATACCTTTTTGTTTTTAACGCTTAGATATTTTGAGAACATATATTTTGGACGCAAATGGACTAATGCAACTTGAGTAATGTGTTACAATCTTAATTTTATAAAATATCTTAGTTTACTATTAGATTCAATAAAATAGTCTATACCTATGCAATGTAGTAACTGTAAATAAATGTGCTTTCAAATATGCGTATGTAGTTCTACCTTGTTAAGTTATTTAATATGATAAATGATTAACGTGGTAAACGTGTAAACGATTTGTCGGATAGTCGAAAATGTATGAATTTGTAGTTCATGGATTGTTCAAATTTATGATTTAAAAAAAAGTTTACAAAGTTTTCTAATTATTCTTTTTACTTGTAAATACACTTATATTAAGATACTTTTATTTTTTAAAACCACAACAATCAAGTTCATCAAATTTAAAAGTCTCGTTTTCATCTTTTGAGTTTGTTAAACTTTTACAAAGTTACAACAGATTTGGTTTCCACTTCATTAATTACTTCACTCAATATTTTTTGTTTTACTAACAAAAATCTAACTTTGTATCTAGCTTTGTTGTATCCAGTTACTTTGTAAATATTGCATAATTTAAAGCAGTTGATTCAAACTGAAGTTTCTACTCTCAATAAATAATTCTTATGTAATTCAGACCTTCATGGTGAAAAATAACGTATCTAATTTATTTCTTTTCTTCACAACTTTTTTTTAAGATTTACCAAACTGTACACCAAATACTTTTAAAAACTCATATAGTATAATAATGCATATTTCGCATCACAGAACAGATATTATTACTTGTTACCAAGTAGAATGTTAAATCTATTTATCCACACATACACATCTTAGTACGAGAAAGTAGGTAAATGATTGAAGATATTCATAATTCATAATACTTTATTTGTGGAATATAGGTTAGTTACAGATCTTAAATGTTATGTTAAAGTTCCACTACATCCTACCACATTGCATGGTGTACAAATAATAAATCGAGAAAATAATAATTACAATTTAAATACATCACAAAAGAAAGAAGAAAAGACAATTTATGCGTCTACAAATATTAAGTCCAAGTCCATAAGTGCATAATAATTTTTCTGCATGTCAATTTTTAAATTATTATTAGCATGCCAATATTAAAATAATTCTAGATAATACTATATATTACATTATTTTGTCATGGAAATATTCGTCAACAGAGTAATAGGCTTAATTTATTAAAAATTCTTTCAATTTATTTTTAAATGACTGTATATTTTTTGAATTTAGTATACATTTGGGCAGCTTGTTATATATTTTAGGTGCCATCACCAATATGCTTTTGTGATATAGGGCGGTTTTAGCTTGGACCATATGTAGCTTACCAGCTCTGCGGTTACTTGACACCTTTGAAAATTTTGACCAGTTTCGTCTAACAAAAAGCGCGCTTTCAAAAATATAAATGAATGGCATTGTAAGTAGTTTTAATTTTACAAAGTATGGTTTACATGTGTCAGTAGTAAAGATATTACATATTGCCCTTATACAGCGTTTTTGAGACCAATTCTTTACCCGCTGCATTGCCCCAAAATATAATTCCGTATTTTATCGTTGATGCGACCAAGCCGTGATAGGCAGCGAGAATTGTGTCTTGGTTCACGATATTGTTTAATTTTATTATTTCAACTTTTATTAATAGGTCAACAAAGGCATGCCATCTGACGACCTACCTCGCTTGGTCTGCGTTTCTGGTCGCACTGAGTCAGCTGTGGCCAGGATCTTGGATGATCTGGAATCTAGGACTGTTGATGCTGAGCTGATCAGATTACTGCATGCTATTCATGATGATGACATCCAAGGACATGTAGTTAGAGGATACACACTTTTGGGTAAGATTTAACAGTGTAATTTGTTTATTAAATAATGGAACCAATATAAAAAAAAACAAACTTTAAGTTATTAAAAAGTTACAAAAAGACTAAGCCTGATTGACCGATCCTTAAAAAGCTTTCCAAGTTGACAGCTTCATGTTTCCACTTGAGAGTCCACTTTGTGCAGTTTGTAATTCTATCTGCACTTACGCTTATTGCAAACTTTATAACTATTCTATTTGTACTTGTGATAATGTATTTTGTTAATGTTAAAAACAATTGCGAATGGTAGAATCATTCGGTCATAGTTCCATAATAATATATCAAAATTTATTAAGTCTGCTTGAAGCAAATTTTTGGTATGCAACACTCAATTCGCATTGCTTACGAATGAACATGCGTAATATGACTTTGATTTTTAGTTGCTGGTAGAACACAAGAACACATAATTTCACGTAATAGAATATTTTTTAGATTTGGGATTAATACTAATTAACTAAGAATGAATGTTTCATGGCTGCCAGCCAAAATCACATCAATTCCACCTTTGGTCATTAGTCTATTAAGATATTTTCAGATACAAAATTAAAATACGTATATTTTAATAAAAACTTTGTTTAGAAAAAAAAAGTTTCACAAAGTATCATCATTCTTTTTCTGCCATCCGAAGTTATGTCTTGGCCTTCCTTTTTATTGAAATAAAAATACAAAAAGGACACTACAGCCCTTATAATTCATGTTAAGCAACATAAAGAAATTCCAACAAATATTAACAAGCATACACGTATAAACCGTAGGTAAATCTTTGTTGAGAGAATTCGGTTTATTTTTCTTGTCAAAGGCAATTCGTTAAGTTTTATCCTTGGTTGAAGCTATTGTAGCATCCTACAACTCATTATCAGTTTGTCAAGCACTGAGAATAATTGGGGAGGTTTATTTCTTCTCTCCTTCTTGAAAATTATTTTTAAAGTATATTACAATTATCTGTGAAAGTACTATTATCAAGTATTAATAGTAAGTAAAAACCAAATTATTTCAATGATGGATTTCAAAATATTAACGACTGTTGGTTTTACAGAATCCACACCTACCACAGCAGTATCAAGAGCTCGTGAAATTGAATACTTCTCCGGAGTTCGCAGACCGGTCTGGTTTGTGTACTCTGGCATGGGTTCCCAATGGTCTGGCATGGGCAAGGAGCTTATGAGAATCCCAGTTTTTGCTGCAAGCATCGAAAAGTAAGTTAATTTATTTTAGATAATAATAAACTATACGAGTATACCTATTTAATAATTGGACTCAAGTAAGGTTCTAGTTTCAGACGATTAAGCTGTCCTAAAACAGGTTTTTTAATTTTAATACATCTAAAGAATAGTTGCTTGAGGAATTCGCCAACTAGTTTTGATGCTAATTTAAAAATTTACTTATACCTAGGTTTTCTTAGGTAGGTTTATTTCGGGGTTACTTGACTTGTTTCGAGTCCAACACCTTCTATTTGGATTATTTAGAAATTCTTGATATTTGGATCATACTTAAATTATTACGTGATAGTAATTAAAAAAAAATGTTCTCGGTTATATCAAATTCAAGAATATAGAACACGAGTTCAATAAAATTCCTTTTTTTTATAGATGCCATAAAGCACTTGAACCTAAAGGCATCAACTTAACCAAGATCATCACGGACGCTGATCCCACAATTTACGATAACATCCTGAACTCTTTTATTGGCATTGCTGCTGTGCAGATAGGTCTCACCGACATCCTCAAGACCATTGGCATCGAACCAGATTATATCATTGGTAACTTAATTAACACAGATTGTTCAAGAATAACATTATTTTAATCTGATCTGATTATGACATATGCTTACTTCTTTTAATCGAGATATATTATTGATTAAAAATAAATATCAACATTACAAAGTACATACCTACAAGATCGATCGAGTACTTAAGATCATAATAACAAAACATGAACATCACCATAGCATCTTTAATACGCCGTGATACAACCACATTACAACTGACTTGGCTCAAATCAGTGTTGAACAACTATTACAAGTTATTGGCTTGGCTTGAATAACTATTACAAGCCATTATTCAAGCCAATTGTGGTATTAGAGTAGAGTACTGTCTTTTTTAAAATTTGAGTTACATTATTCACAGATCAATAATGTGATTTCTAAAGTATCTAAACTAGTTTTTTTTTTTTAATCCACCGGCATCGAATATTTCTCAGTACATGGAATGTATTAAAACATCCTCTGTATATGACCTAGACTTTATCGTATTCTTAGGTCATAGTGTTGGCGAACTCGGCTGCGCTTACGCTGATGGCTGCTTTACCGCTGAAGAGATGATTTTGTCTGCATATAGCAGAGGCTTGGCTTCTCTTGAAACTCCTTTCATTAAAGGATCTATGGCTGCTGTTGGTCTGGGATACAACCAGGTAAAATCTATATTAATTCAAAGGTATACATTTTTATATGGTTACATCGTTTTCCTATAAAATTTTAAGTTTATCATCTGATTTAAAATTGTGGAACTTTAACTTTCTGTAGTCTCTTTATTAGTCCATAGTGCTCTAGGCGTATTTTTTTTTTAAATTACTTTCATTGAAAGTGTAATATCTTTTTTTGTTGAATATTTAGATTCTCTATGGATTCTATTTTGTTTTCAATTTTCTTTCTATATTTCCTTTAAAATTATTTTGTTGCAATTTGTTTACTGTAATAAGTTGGGTACTATTACTTACGAATTTGGTTAATTTCAATCTAGATCAAAACAATGTGCCCTCCGGAAATAGATGTAGCCTGTCACAACGGCCCTGACTCCTGCACCATCTCAGGTCCTGCTGACGTCATGAAGAGCTTCGTTGCCAAATTGACAGCCGATGGTATTTTCGCCAAAGAGGTCCCTTGCTCAAACATAGCATACCACTCACGCTATATTGCCGAAGCTGGTGAGTTGCTCTTTGTGTCCAATTATTAATTATTTTATCTTTTTTACTTATAGTATTGATTATCTTCTCAATTTAGTTATTAATTTTCTTTTTTTTTTAATTTCTAACGATTTAACTACAGGTTATTTTACAACTGTTTTAATTATATATACCCGTAACTGTATTAGATGTTAATGTGATGCAGTAATCCGCAACTTATGTGTTTTATTTTACTTTAATTTCAGCATATTTAATCAATTTTTTTTTTTTGCTTAATGATCACAGTACTACATTACCTTTTCACCAACTTTGCAGTAAATGAAGAATACTAAATACTTTCTGACATTTGTTAGGTCCAACTCTGCTGAAATACCTGAAAAAAGTGATCAAATCACCGAAGCCACGCTCAGACCGTTGGGTATCCACCTCTATACCACAAACTCAATGGAAGGACGAAAAGGCCAGACTGTCTTCTGCTGAATATCATACAAATAACCTCTTGGTAAGTGGTATTTCAGTTTGCATAATTATTGATAAAAATACAAACTTAGAATTTTAATAAATAAAAATAGTAATATACAGGGGACTAGAGGCTACGGGGTATCCGAGTAGGTTAGCACATTGCAAAGTTAATCAATCCTAGCCAAGCCAGACTTTCGATGGGTAACCATTCTTAACACATTGAGACCCCTCTGAGCCTTGGAGAGTACGTTAAGCCGTCGGTTCCGGTTGCCATGCAAACATCTGTGGCAATCTTTATGGTTATTTAGAGACGTGAGCCGTAAAAAGTCCGAAAACAGTCTATCTACAAAAAGTCCAAAGTCTTATTAGACTGAAAACAGACTCCAGCCTAGTTTGGGGTAAGGTTCGAAGGATGAGGATAATGAGTTACTCGTATATACAAAAAGAACTACATAAGCGCAGCATCACGATTATTTGTTTTTATTTGTGTTTATTACAACAAATTGGTATTGGTATTGGTCTGTTTAACAAAGACAAAAAATGCTTACCTTTTTCAAACAGAGCGCAGTACTGTTCGAAGAAACATCCCGGCTCATTCATCAGAATGCTATCACCATCGAAATTGCACCTCATGGTCTTCTACAAGCCATCCTTCGTCGCTCTCTGAAGAAAGACGTCATCAACATTCCTCTCACACAAAGCTACCATAAGGACAACGTTGAAGTGCTCTTAACAGCAATCGGAAAGTGAGTTCTGGTTTCTATTTTTATTAGTAAAAGAGAAAATATCTAGATTTTAGTAAGAAGTTTTAAGCAGCAGTCGAATTTTTTGGTTTTTTTAATCTATAAACCCACTTAAAAAATCGAGAACTACTAATTACTAACACTGATAAATCGTCCTTAATTCTGTAATCTAATACTTTTACATTAATTAATCCAAGAATTCATTGGGATTATTAATAAATGTGTTCTTTGCGGCTAGAACCAAAGCTTTAACCAACATGAACTGGGCTTTATTTCTCCTATTTCATATTAACGCTAACTTTTTGAAGATGGCCTGTAAAAAAATGAAATGGAAGTATTAATTCAGAAGCATTCGTTTCTATCCTAGTTACAATTTTAAGATTACATTTTGTTACAGACTTTACGAATCTGGGTTAAACCCTCACATGGCCAACATTTACCCGCACATTCCATTCCCAGTTTCACAGGGTACTCCGATGCTATCTCATTTAGTTGAGTGGGAACACAGTGAAGATTGGTAAATGACACATTTACTTATTTTCTAATTCCGACCTCGATCCGACGTGCAACCAAAAATGAGTTTCAAAGCTTGAGCTCAAAGAAAAAAATAATAAAGCAACTATTAGAAGATTCTCAATTTATATTTAATTTAAAAAAATCTATTGTTTAATAGATTTTTCAATTAAATAGACATCGAGAATTTTCTAATAGTTGAAATTCCTATATATTCGCTGAAAATATACACAGAAAATATTCTATCACCAAAAATCTATACTAATATTATAAAGCTGAAGAGTTTGTTTGTTTGTTTGTTTGTTTGAACGCGCTAATCTCAGGAACTACTGGTCCGATTTGAAAAATTCTTTCAGTGTTAGATAGCCCATTTATCGAGGAAGGCTATAGGCTATATATCATCACGCTAAGACCAATAGGAGCGGAGCACCAATGAAGAATGTTTCAAAAACGGAGGAAATTTATTACTATTGAGAGACGCAGACGAAGTTGCGCGGGTCCGCTAGTACAATATAAAACTGTAAAACATTTTTTCTTAAACTTAACATTCTTTGTCCCTAAAACCTAAGAATCCAACTAGTTTATTTATAATTGTTATCTTCTAAGATAATTATGTTCTCGGACTACATAACCACATTTTACCACGTATGATTTCATCCTTTAAGACGAAATACAAAATACGCTTAACAAATTTACTCACTAAACGTTTTCGGCATTTCATCAGTAGCCAGAAATTCCAACCGGGGCACTTAACGCCTGTGAAAGTTAGACTGCAACATAGGGAGTCGTATATTAATTGCTGGTCATCATTCAAGCCACCACAAACAAATCGCTCGAGTGTGATCTATCGTAGCCACTTTGTACATTCACTTCAATATAGCAACGTTAGCGAAGGCATTTTTCAAAAGAGAACTGTGACCTGTTTCAATTTTTCCTTGATTTATGAGTTTTGAGCGGTGTCAAGCGGGGATGGAATATGGACAATTAAAACAAGAACTAGACGTGATTGAAAAACAATAATCCTATATTTCACGTCCGTCGGAAAATAATTGTATTTCAAACGGCCGTAATAAAGACAAACGGACAATCGGTCAAATTGTATGGCGGATAGACAAACAAAATAATAGTGCCATAAAGCTCAGAATATTATACAATTTTTATTCTTTTGAGTAACGTTTGAGTAAATAATCGTAGCAGGGCCATTCTTTGGCACATATAGGCCAAGCTCGACCGGAGTTAATCACGGAACACAGAAAATCGGTGTTAAGCGGTTCATTTCTTGCTTTTTACCGAGTGAGTGAGGTTATAAGTATGTGAGCCGACTAAGGGAGCAAACTACGCAGGACAACAGCACTACAAAAGAAGGAAAACTTGACACAAACCCTCTACCAACTCTTCTGGCATGAAGAGGCCTATGTCCAGCAGTGGACTATTAAAGGCTGTTGATGTAATGATGATGATTCAATGAGGTTAAAGAATCCTAAACCCTCCCCCTTCCCCCCGATTCTGGTAGGTACTGAAAGGGCGGCAGCGCATTTGTCACACTCGAGTTGCAAGTGTCCATGGGCGGCAGAAATCACTTACCATCAGGTGATCAGTCTGCTTGTTTGTTCTTCTGTACTATAAAATAATAAAAAACTGAATCGATAATAGTGGTCGAAAACATAGGCCGTCTGATAAAAAACTATGGTTGATAAGCTTCAACTATTGTTTCGTCGGCGTGGCTAGTGTTTGTAAGTATAAACACTAGCCACGCCGACAAAGACGTCAATACTAACATTTACTGTGTTATCCAAAATAAATAAAAATCCTAGCTATATACTGTGAACAAAGTAATGTCATCTCATGCATCTCGTTAAATCCCTAGTGATTCACCAACAGCCGTTTCTAAGCGTCCTTTTCTCCACTTTGATTGCTCTCTTGCTACAAAAAGGCTGTTTTACAGTTTAATAAAATGTTAGTGTGTTGTTTACACACATGTATTACGCTTAAATAGAATTCTAAAGCACTCCACTATTTTCACCGTACTGGTCTATTTAAAGCTCTTAAGAAAATTGATTCAATTTTCAATTGTGTCTTTTAGAAGGAGGCACTGCAAATAGAAGTACTAGGAAATAGGTGTTAAGTAATATATAAGATGGAATATATATATATATATATCTAGTTTTTTGTATTATAACTAACCTGATGGTAAGTGACTATCGTGGCTTATAGACACCTGCTTCTCAAGAGATATAAGTGCGTTACCACTTCGTATGATCCTCCTGAATTACTAGGGCGTAGAGGGGAGGGCCTGGCCCATCGGAAACCTGCTTAGCACCAGTTTCTTGTGAGATTGTGGTATCACTCCGGTCGAGTGAAAAATTTAAATATCAGTATTTTTTCAATCTAGAAAAAATAATCTAAAAAAACTTAATGTTTGGTGAAAAGCCTAGTAATGTTTCGTTATGGTCATCGTAACAGCACCATGGCGTTTTGCAAAAGCTTTAACAGCAGTTTGTGCTCGTTTATAAAAATCATGTTAGGTCTTCTATAATAAATGAAATTCGTTTAAAGACATATGTCAGGACTAATTCTAATTTCATAATATAACGATTTACAAATATATTCACTGAAATAGATTATTATTTATATTTAGAATTTAGGACTAAACTTTATAAACTTATAATATATATACGAGTACATTTAAGTTCACATCATATTTAAATTTTTCGACAAATATGTGCACAGAATTGTGGATAGTTAGCAATTGGTCTTTAGAATATCTAAGAAATACAAGAGAGATAACATCCAGATTTTAATATGCAATTTATATTTTAGGTACGTGACGTCATACAAAGCCCAAGAAAAGATGAAATCTGGTGAGAGAACAGTTAGAATGTCCATTATTGATGAAGACAGCGAATACTTAGTTGGACACGTTGTTGACAGTAAGTATATTACATAACTTTTCATGGTACAACTTGTGTACTTTAGTAAAAATAACAACAACTTAACCTGAATACTAACAAACTATTTAGTTAAAGAGAATACTTATAAAAATGTATTTGTTTCTTTCTCCCCTTAGGTCGTAACTTGTACCCTGCCACTGGTTATCTTGTCTTGGTTTGGGAAACTCTTGGTATGATGATGGGAGAACTGTTCACTGAAGTGTCTGTGGTGTTCGAAAATGTTCGATTCCAACGAGCCACAAACATCCCTAAGGAAGGAAATCTAGAGTTCATTATAATGATCCAGAAAGGCAGCGGCAATTTTGAGGTAACAATTAATATTTTAAAATTAATTAAACGTGTCGATAAAGAATCTCTTGTTAAATTATTTACATTTAAACTGTCCCAACTCTTGTACGTATGTTCATGTTACACTTATAGATTCACAACACAAAGAAGCCCAAATCTTCTCTGCCCGCCCTCGTAGAGTAGAATTTTTCAGACCATACTGTGCAAGAAAAAGACAGTAACATATTTAGTGCTAGATAACGAAATCAAAAATGTGTTGTGCCTTTCCTTCTTAAAAAAATTCGGACAAGTGAGTGTCGAACGCGCCTACCGAGGGTTCCGTACAAATTTGTAGGAACATATTATAAATAGTTCAGTTTTCCCGTAATTAAGTTTCCAATACCTATAACTACTTATATTATTGTGTTCTATAAGTGAAATTGTACCTCGATTATTGGTTAAGTACCTTAAATAAAGACTATACGGTTTAATTACAAATGTATAGTTTCAGAATTTTCCCTGTAGTAGTAATTTTGTAAGTAATTTCATAGTAAAGTACCCTATAAATTTTTATTTCCTTGAGAGTCTCAAAATATACTGTCTTTTGAGTTTCAATATTTAACAGCTTCAAGGGTGTGTAGTCCTGAGTATATGGTTTTAATTTCCTTCATGCGTTCCTGAGATAAAGTGTCTTGACAAACAGACAGACGGACCACAATGTGATCCTATATGGGTTCCGTTTTTTTCCTTTTGAGGTACGGAACCCTAAAAATAGGTCTTTGGGTACTAAATAAACTAAGTTCTTTTTCTATAGATCGTAGAAAGTGGTGCGTCAATTGTGACTGGCCGTATCTATGCCAAGAAAAATGTTGGACAGGACTATCGAGTGCTCCCAAGCACACCAGAGTCTAGTAGTCCTAATGTTAAACATATGCTTACAAAAGACTTTTACAAGGAACTTCGTCTTAGAGGATATCAATACAGGTAAATTTGATATGCAAAATTATCATGTAACAAGAATAGTCACATAATATGAGCTTCCTGAGCAACGCTAGATGTTAAAAAAGTTTAATCAATAACCTAGAAATTCTAATTTGAGCATCTAATTTGAGCATCTAAATGAAAGTGACCTAACTCAAAATGCAATTTGTTGGAAAGTGACTGACTCACAGACTGAGTCATTCTATTTTCGATTTGCCACACAGGGTTTTAAACTAGATTTTAACGTTCAGTTTAGTGTTAAAAAGAAGTGCTAGAAATAATAAGTTAAATCTAAGAGTACGAATTTAGTTACATGGTTTCCTCCTTGAAAAACAAAGGTTATTAAAAGGTTATTAAGATATCAGATGGTCTTATTTTTATGAGTTGTGCAATATCATCAATTCGAATAATCTTCAGAGTTTGAAAGGTTACCTTAAGATTAAAAGACAAAACGGTGTATCTATTAAAAGTGGTATGCTTATTGCTATTAATTTTTTTAGTGGTTCGTTCCGCGGTGTTCTTGGTTGCAACATTGATGGCACGCGTGGTCGTCTCTCTTGGGTCAACAACTGGGTCACTTTCATGGATTGCATGCTACAGATGAAGATTATCGGCCAAGACACCAGAGGTCTCTTTGTTCCTACCAGAATCGAAAAGCTTTCTATTGACGCCAATATGCATTACAACGCCATTTCCAAGATGAACCCTGACTCGACTAAGAACTCGTTCGAGGTCCGCGTGTATCCTCATGTTGACGTTATTAGGTAAGGTTCGTCGTAATATTCTTTTAAGAATTTAATCCATTCTTGGGTCATAAATATTTAAGAAAACATATTATGAAGTTCGTCTTTTATTGTTACTGTCACTGTCACACACGCGAGTATATTTTTAATTACAGGTGTAGGAGTCAGGACAATTTTTGACAGTATTAATAAAAATGAGTTTTTCAAGTCGATTGTCTTTTTATGTTTAACACCTCAGAACTCGTCATTTATAAACAGATTTGTTATTTTTATTTTATTTAGAAAGGTATATTCCCATTTAGTTTTATTACATAAAAAATGTCTCCTGAAGGCGGAAAATTTAGCAATGAAGAATACAGTCGACCATGATGTAAGTAGATTTAAGTTGGTTTAAAAAATTACTCAATGATATTGCTTACTGTTTAAAGACACAAGAAACAAATAAACGAAATGACTAATCTTAACGTTGCTCTCAAATGAATGTGAGTATAACCAACAATAGATATCAATATTAATTCTAACGTAGAAGCAATTCCCTCAGGTCGGGTCACCCTTGACGCCTTTAATATAAATTACCCCAAATAAACCCTACTTTGAGTGGCAACAAAATTTATAACCTCAATTAAGGTGGCAAACCAACTGCATACCCGGTTCATTCGGCTTATATAAACAATTGTAGGTATCACTTGATTGAGGATGCCCTACTAAATTTGGATAATATTACTCATAAATATGTACTAATTTTCTGCGGACGAAGTTTAGTTATTTTCAAAAGAGATTTAGTTGTTGATAAGTCAGCATAAAAAATACAGATTAACTTTTGTCTGTGTGCCTTTTAATTTCTTCTTGAGACTTTACTTAATTAAATATTATTAAAACTTGGGGTTAAGCAAGTTCGTTTAACTTTAGTTATAATTGCCATATTTTCTAATGATTTTAGATGTAGTTTAAACATAGTGTAATGAAACCGTTTATTTCTCACATTTATTTTAGGAGCTGTTTTATAAAACTCTACTTTTAGGATTATTAATGAAATAGTTAAATAGTAGTTTTTAGACAATATCTTCAGGGCCCATCTAATACTTTGATACGAAATCGAAACATACCTAAAACAAATGTTGGATCATAATCACTTTAACAGCATTTCTGATAGTTTATTGTTTTTATTGAGAGTGAATTGATTCGTAAAAACATTTTTAATTAAGTTAAAGCGTGGGACGTTAGTAATGCATTATAAAAAAACAAAAATGTTTCTTTGCCTCTAATCCAGGAACAAAGTTTATCCCATTTTCTGGCCCAAGGATAAAAGTTCTGGCCTAAATTTAAACCACTACTTATTATTTATGTTTAACTAGCTTATTCCCGAAGTTTTCGCCGTATTAATATCGATTTCGTCAGTTAAATTTCGCCTTGATAAAAAGTAAACTATGGGCGTTACATAGAATATTATATATCTTTGTGCCAAATTTATCTAAATCCGTCCGGCCAATTCGGTATAATTGAGTAACAAATACCGATACATTCATCTTCATAAAATTAGGCGTAAAATAGTAATGGTATATACTAGCATCTCCAGACTATCTGGCAAACAAAATTTTGCTTAGATACAATAAACATAATAAACACACTTTCGTACGTATTTATATCGGCTTAAGTTTGTGTTAGGACCACAAAGATAATGGACGATTTACTACGGTAACGTGACAAGTTTAAAGTTTAGTGAGGTTGAGAAATGGTCTACGAATATTCTGTATAATATTCTAAAATACTATTTTATCCTTGGTTTTGAGTTATAAAGGATATCTAAAGCCATAATCAAAATTTTTACTACAGACATGATTAGTTTTTTATCTTGAATTTTTGAATTCTCCTTCTTTCATATCAAATAAACAGTATTACAGAAAGGTATAGTATAGTTTGAAAAAAATGCATTTGGAATAAAAAAAACATTTTTCTGATGAAGGTGCAACAAACCAACATACTACGTATTTACGTATACATTTCACATTTCATTTCATTTAGGTACGCGTTATTTACGAGGTAATTTAAACTTAACATATTACTACACCTCTCTGCGCTAAACAAACATCTTTCCGCTTGAAAGGTTTTTTATAATTAATTCCTTTGTATTTAGGTTGAAATGTTTAACATATATTTAATATTAACAATATAATTTTACTCAGGGCTGGTGGTGTAGAAATCCGTGGTCTCCACGCCACTCCGATTACAAAGAGGCTGCCACTAGGAGTTCCTGTTCTTGAGAAGAACATATTTGTCCCTCACTTTGGCAAATCTAAGATGGCGGTAAGAAATTGAGCTACGCAATCTAACCTTTATCATTTTACTTTTATTTTACTCTTCTGACCTTTAATCAGAGTAGGTGCCTATGGCGTACAGTAGCATAAAATAATATCAGTGCACAGAAGTAAAACTCATGTAGGTATGTACCTACCTTACTTTTCAATTCTGGCTTATGGGAAAAAAACTATGTTGGTAGTGCCACTCATATTTAGTTGTTTGATTGTTTGTTGAGAATAAAACAGAAAGAACGGAAACCAATAACAACTAAAATAATTCAATTTTAATGTCATTACTATATCTATTCTTTCATTCCAACCTAATCATTTCAAACAATCAGTTCGGCTGTAAACACGCTCATCTCTCTTTGTAACATGTAATAGAATGTCTTTGAATTTTAGTACTTCTGCCATTGTATAAAACTTGTGAAGAGCTTTTCAATAAATTATTATTATTAGTTTACTTTATTGTTCCATCTTTGCACAAAAACATCACAAGGCGCGTGTCGCTCGCCCTCGCATTGGTCCAAACCGTTCCGAGATATTGTGTCAGTCAGCGATGTCAATATGTGCGTTGCTCGAGCGCGCGTTGTATGTAGCTTGACTTCTGTACACTTATTATTATGTGGCAGTAGTACTTTTCATCAGGTGACGCTCGTTTCCCCCCTATTCCAAAAATGAATAGTTATTTGTTCTTGTAAATAAAGTTGTTACACTAAGATGTTAAATCATTTTCAACAACTTTCTTTTTACTTAAAAAATTTTGAATTCTTCAGAAGAAGGAACGATAAAACAGGACCGAATTACAATTGCTGTATTTCTACTAATCATCATTCAATAAAAATACATTGTAATGTCTACTTAGGGACTCACAGTTTTTAGAATAGCAAAATTTATATTCAGTAAAACTATCTTCTTCTTTTAACCAGGTTGAAGATATTCTGCGCTCAAACCTTCAGTTAGTCTTAGAGAATATTCAAACCTACAAAGTCAAGTGTATTGAATTAGCTGATGAAGAATATAAAAATAATGACTTAAATCCGTTATTAGAAAAAGTTGGTGATGTTCTTGGAGACCTTCCACTAGTACAGGCAGAATTACTGTTAATATCTAATGAACCTATTGAAATGCCTTCTCATATAACTGTGGAGAATAAGAAACTACAGGGCGAGAGTAATGCTGTAGTGTGCATTGGTGCCAATCTTTTAAGCAGACCTGAAGTAAGTAAAATAAAAACTTATAAGTAGTGGCAATGTATTTGATCCCTATTTAATATTTGGAAATTGTAGCCACCACAACATATATACGTCACAAGTTAGATTCTTATCTCGAACAGGCAAAAAATATAAACAAAAAAGATTAACTAGAAGTAAAAAAACCGAAATTATTTAAATACTTACATTATAGGTACTTCAACAAGCTATATCGACCCTCCGAGATAAATGCTTCATCATCAGTCGCGAGAAAGACCGTCCTGACCCCAAGCAATATTCTGGCATATACGACATTGTAACTATTCAAGATACTGGCATTGAGTACTTAGTCCTCTTCAGAAAGCGCGTGGGGGCAAGACCAGCTAAATTTGTTAGAATCCTTGCTTCAGACCAGAGTTTTTCATGGATCGACAAAGTCAAGGAGGAGCTCAAAGAAGGACAAAAACTTGTTTTGTATACTCAAAATGAGCACATCAATGGTCTACTAGGTTTAGTTAACTGCTTGAGGAGGGAACCTGGTGGTGAAGTCGTCAGTGGTTTGCTGATTTCTGACCCATCTGCTCCTGAATTTAACCCTGATTTGGAGTTCTATGAAGAGATACTGGATAAGGATTTAGCTTTGAACGTTTATCAGAATGTAAGTACTTCTTAAATAATTAAAAAATAAATAAAGTGCTTTAATGATATGTCAATTCGATTGATTACAGTTTAAACATGGTACTATGACAATGTTACGAACTAAGTTTAGTGCGTGGTCTTATAAAACTTGTCTCGTTTTACAAGTTGTAGATTGTATCGATTCCGACTAATACACGTAAACGAAAAAAAAATTGGTGCTTTATTGAACTGGAATAAAATTGAAGTAAATATAAAAATAATTACTAGTTAATTTCTGAAATACTTGCTAGTTCACTCACCATACAGAAGCTTAATGTACAAACTGTAACGTCACATGACCTTGACAGTTTGGTGTCCTGGAAACATCGAAAAGTTTTTTTCTAACATTCGTTTTTCATCAAAATAAATCGTTTTCCAAAAATAGACAACCATCCTTTTTATGCGACTTCGTTAAGATATGATTAAAAGTCATAAATCAAAAGTTACATGCAAAAAATGTCCTTTGTAAAGTGATCTCTCAATTCTAGCGGATTAATTCATTGACGTTATTTACTGGTTTTTCAATAAAAATATGACAGGCAAACATCACTGATAAACACAGTTAAACGAATTGCTGAGTACAGGTAAATTAGCTTGGAGAAATTTTTGCGTTTGTAGTAGTGTATGGTCAGCAACAGCGTAAACTGGTTTTGTGCGTGTTTCCACTTTCCACTATCAAGTGACGATTTTTTGCTTTAGATTGAAATATCTCGGAAACGGTGCGTCCTAGGCCAAAAATAAGAAAAATTTTGACCCCCCCGTAGACCCAGAGTTTTAAAAACCTAGATGAAAGGAAAAAAAAAAAAAAAATTAAATATCGGTCTCTCCTCTTTAAAGTTTCACTTCTATCGTGTGTGAATCGCACACACACCTTTTTTTTTATAAAGTCAAAACCTTTTTCTTTAAAATAAAAACTTGTTTTTATTGAAAACAAAAATCAGAGTGTTGCTAGGGATAAGTATAAAATTAAATAGTAATGTTAGGATATCGAAACATTTTTGTATAGGCCAGAACGACATAGTGGAAACGCGCTCTAAGATCTGAGTAATATACACACCACTACATATGCAAAAATTTCTCGAGACTAATTTCACTGTAATTAAATATGTATTTGATGAACAAATTATTTTATTAAGGTAAAGAAGTTAATTAAAGCTTTTGAGGTAATAACTACAACAATAAGTTTGGATAAATACATTTAAGTCTTATTATTTTGTAACAACTGTACAATTTTTGTAATCCGAATTCAATTACAGGGTCAATGGGGAACTTACCGCCACCTTCTTCTTGGTGACTTGGATACTATCCGGGTAAACCACGCGTTTGTTAATACTACAACTATTGGAGACCTGTCTTCTTTAAGGTGGCTCGAAGGCCCAATCAGACCCAACGATAAGCATGTCTTCAAAAATCCATCAAGTGTACTTGTACATGTAAGTGTAACTTCCAATCTGTTTTCAAAGTATCGTAGCAAACGTTCAAGAGAAATTGAATATATTATCTCACAAGGTTACCATTCATTATTGAAGCAAATTCCTTTAGAATGATTTTATTTAGCTTAATCTCAGTCCCAGTTAAACTTTTGTTCAACATTAGTTCATTTTTTTTTAATATTTTAAAACAGGTGTACTGCTCTGCACTTAACTTCCGTGATGTAATGACAGCAACAGGTCGTGTAACAGTTGATGCTGTAGCTCGTGGCCGTATTGCGCAGGAGTGTGTGCAAGGTTTTGAGATTGTCGGCAAGACACCAAAGTTAGTAACTTTCTCTTTGGACTTCTAAATCATTGGATTAACTGTTGCATTGAGTGTTTCTTTCTGTGGTCGTTTAGTAATTATGATCATACTAGCTTACATTCTCTCATGTTTAATGATTTTAAATTTTTGACATAGCGTAAGTATTTACACTAATCTTTAGATAGCACATAGAGTAAATAAACTAATCTTTGTCAAAAACCGAATACATACGACATGCCGGACACAGTACAGTGTCAGCATTAGTCCACATCACTGATGATATTATAGAAAATATGGATAGTGGAAACGTAACGGTATTATCCTTACTCGACTTCAGTAACGCATTTAATACCGTTGATTTCTATATTCTCCTTGGCATTCTTCGCTCTCTTAACATATCACCAGGGGCAATTGATTGGTTTCAAAATTACCTGCTTGGGCTTTCGACTTGAAGTCTCCTTCTCTTCATGGTGTAATGGTGGCGTTCTATCTACATTACTCTTCGTAATTTTTATTAATTCTATTTCCAATCTTTTACTTTCATCCTACCACCTGTATACTGATGATTTGCAGATATACACCCATGCATGCATGTTAACGACTGCGCTTAATATTATTAATTCAGATTTAGAGCACATAAGCGCTTGGAGTAACGACTATGGACTCAAAATTAATCCTACAAAATCACAGGTATGCATCATTGGGAGTCCCATAATGTCTGCTAAAATTATTTGGCCACATTTGCCTCCGGTTCATTTTAACAATACCATCATACCGATCAGCAGCAAAGTCAAAAACTTGGAAGTTATAATCGATAGCACCTTATCATAGGGACCTCAGATTCAGGAGCGGGATCTTTGCGAAGATTACAAAACTTTCTTCCGACTGCTACTAAAACTGCGCTTGCCGACGTTAGCTCGATCTCGATCTTACCGAAGCACATCTTGATAAAGTTGAGCCGTCTCCAAAATTTTTGTCTACGACAACATACTCTACGTCTACGGAAACATTATCATATTTGCGAAGTCCAAATATGAATATATTTGGACTTCGCAAATGATCATGTTTCCCACTACCGCAAAAAGCTCAAGTGGCTTCATACTACTTCTCAGCTCAGGTGGCTTCTACTCATAACCTTATGCTTCTGTATAATATTCTGTTTAATCCATTAACTCCTGTTTACCTCAAAGAACGCTTTAAGTTCCTTAATGACACACATATGAAAAGCCCGATGTCCTCTGAAAGCCTGAGATTGGAAACACCAAGGCATTCTACCCATTTCTACTCAAAATAATTTTCCGTAGAAGCTGTACGTTTTTGCCTTGCCAGTTTCTATCATACGTGCGCAATCCGTAACCACCTTCAAGACCATGCTGTATGAGCATTATCTGTCTCTCATAGTTGGCAATTAGTGTATGTATATACTAATGTATAAATATAGATTAGTAGGATATATGTATGATAAACATTTAAAAGGTTAAGACCTTATTTATTTCTCTAATTATCTATACCTATCACCAGTTCAAAATGAATCCAGTCCATTTAAAGGTTGCCTGGAAGAAATTGCACTAAGCGATAAGGCCGCCTTTCTGTATTACATCTGTTGTTAATTACTTTATATTGTCTGTAAAGCCCTGGTGTACAAATAAAGTATTTATCTATCTATCTACGATATATCTTAAATGATAAATGGATGCAAATTCATATGGAACTCTGGCTAGCTTAGTCACAGGCTTTGATAGCCTTATTCGATAAATGATCAAAAGTTATGTGTCATGGTCACAAACGATCACGTATATTTTAAAGATAAAAACAGTAATATCAACAAGCATCACTAGCATTTGCGTGCCCTTAAAGTACTGTAACTTTTTTCTGAATACCGTTATATCCATCTTACTTAAAATATTTCACCTAAGTTTAGTTTGCTACAGTCTCATAAAATAGAATATTTAATCTTGACAGTGGTTCACGAGTTATGGGCATGGTTTGTAACGCTGGTCTGGCGAACGTAGTTCAAGGTGACAATGATTTACTATGGGCCATTCCTGAAGAATGGAGTTTTGAAGAAGCTGCCACTATTCCTGTGGCTTACGGAACAGTTTACTATTCTATGGTAAGTAATCAAATGTAAACTAAGAGGTAAAATATATCGATAATATGCATTAAACTAGATCACATATGCCAAGTGTGGATATGTCATTCCATTTGAGGACCGAACAGAAGCTTGTAGAATAGTTTGCAACTGTGCCTGGTCTTTCATAGAATGAATACATTTTGTTTGTATGAACTTATTTTCTTCATTAATATTTTTAACAGGTGATGGTGGGCAAAATGCAACGGGGAGAATCCATCCTCATCCACGCTGGATCTGGTGGTGTTGGCCAAGCTGCCATCAATGTAGCTTTGTTTTACAATTGTGAAGTATTTACAACTGTTGGTACCGCAGAAAAGAGAGCATTCATCAAAAAACTTTTCCCACAACTTAAAGGTTTGAAAATTACACATTTCTTTTTACTAACCCTTCCCTATATTGAGTAATTTTTTCTCACTAGTTATTTATAAAGGGCATATTTACAAAATAATTGCTATTATAAAAAAAACTACATTATTCGCTTCAATTACATTAAGAGGATAATTGCATAAGCTAAAATGTTTGTGAATATAAAGCCGCTAAAAATGTGACTTTTAGTTATTATCAATAAGGTGCATTTGAAATTTCCTAAAGACTGATGGAAAAAATAAAATAAAGGATTTTGTTTAACTTGAAGCCTTAATAAGAACATTGCCGGATTATAATTAATTGTATAAATTAAAATGTTTTTTAGTCTTGATGCATTAAAAAGCATATTTATTAACTAAAATACCTCTATTACAGATAGTCATATTGGTAACTCTCGTGACACCTCCTTTGAAGACATGATCAGAAGAGAGACTAACGGCAAAGGTGTCGACATGGTAGTCAACTCTTTATCAGATGAGAAACTACAAGCCTCAGTGCGTTGCCTGGCGCACCGTGGTCGTTTCCTTGAGATCGGCAAGTTCGACATCAGCAATAACACACCTATTGGCATGTACTTCTTCTCGAAGGAAACCTCCTTCCACGGCATTATGTTGGATTACATCTTTAATCAAAGCTTCTCCTTCAGAAAGGTTTGTAGCAATAATATTTTGTTTAATACATTTGACAAGACCATATTCTTATAAATTAAATGCGATTTCGCTACTGATTTCTCAATTAACTAACACAGAAATATTTTACAGCGGCTGCAAAACCTTCTGATATCCGGTATCGAGTCTGGGGCTGTAAGGCCTCTCACTTATTGTACATTTGAGAAGACAGAAGTTGAGTCTGCATTCCGTTACATGGCGGCTGGTAAACATATTGGCAAGGTAAGATCCAGGCATAATTATAATGATTTCTACAAATTAGCGTAGATTAATCAATTAACATTTTCCCCGAGATAGAAATAAAAAAGTTAGATAATGTGAGTATCAGGAGAAACTTTATCTCAGAACGTACAACTGAAGTGTTAAAGAACGATTAGTCGTCTTTTGAAATGTTATACATACTTACTTTTAGAAGCATAATATAATTAAGCTTAAGCAAGATGACAAAAAGAAGAAGTCTTAACTGCTGGAATCTTAACTCCGATCAATTTATTATTAAATAGTCGTTCATTGTGCAACTATTCTTCTTGTTGATGTTAAAAAAAGAGTTCAACAAATATCACTAGTGTAAATAAACAAATAGTATAACAAAAAAAACTTTTTTTTTTAAATTGTTTTATTTAATTAAGGTGATCATCAAGATCCGTGATGAGGAACCCAGTTCCCAACGAGTATTACCCACTAACATACCGGTTGTCGCTCTGCCTAGGTAAGCTGCTGTCTCATTCACTTATTGCATAGCATCTAAACTAATATCTACTTTCTGATCTCTAATGTACCTTTTCTACAATTATTATTATCAACAGGTACAACTGTCACGAGGATCATGTATACATCGTTGTAGGTGGTCTTGGAGGATTCGGTCTTGAATTAGCCGACTGGCTAATCATGAGAGGCGGTCGTAAGGTCGTCCTTACCTCTCGCAGAGGAATCACAAATGGGTACCAGGCGTCCCGACTTAAGTATGTAGATGTTTTTCTTACCATTAATTTCTTTCTGACGTAGTATCTTGGTATCGAACAACAATGATTTCATATATTTTTAGATTAACCATTTTTGGCCTTATTAAAATTTATTCTCAAAAGTTACGCACCCGTTACGCACGTTACCCTATAGCTGATAGGGTATCGTTGTAAAAGGTCCTACACCCTACCTACACGTTTTAAGGACTTCGACATTTTTATGTAAGAAAATATCTGAAGGAGATATCACATTGGTACATTTTTTTGAACATTTTTTTTGCTAATAATTATCTCGGATGGTATCAGAGAAGATATTTTGGAAGTAACATTTTCCTTCTAGGGCTTGGACTTCTTACGGCGCTGACATTAAAATCTCAACCCACGATGTCACAACTGAGTCTGGCTGCGAACAAATGCTAAAGATGGCTTTAGACATGGGTCCAGTTGATGCAATCTTTAACCTTGCTGTTATCTTAAAGGACTCTATTTTCCAAAACCAGACACCCGAGACTTTCAAGACCTCGTATGGACCTAAAGCTTTGGCAACATTGAATTTGGATAAACTATCCAGGAAACTGTGTCCAGGTTTAAAGTACGTAAATTATTATAACATAATTATATTTTAACGTTGCGAATTTGGCTTCAAACAATTTCTACATAGATATGATTAGACTAAAAAAATAATTGAACGAGATTAATGGAGGGTAGTGTCATCGAAAAGTTAGTTCATTTTTAGATGTAAAAAGATGCAAATATGCACTTTGTGTAATTGTTATAAGTTATTGTAGATTCAATGAGCTTTCAACAAGAATTTATGTAGCATATTCTTTATGTTTTTCTTAAATATTATTAGAGAATAACCATTTATTTATTTCAGGGACTTTGTCATCTTTTCATCAGTGTCTTGCGGTCGTGGAAACGCAGGTCAGACGAACTATGGTTTATCAAACTCCGTGATGGAAAGGATCTGTGAATGGAGACATCAGCTTGGACTCCCGGCTCTTGCTATACAGTGGGGAGCCATTGGTGATGTAAGTTATTTCGTATTTTTAACTGACTTCAAAACAGTAAGAGGCGTTTCTTATTTCGACTTTTTGTATGTTTGTTACGCCATATTTGGGTCAATTTTGAGCAGCTTGCTTATAGTAATATTATCATCACTCTTAACTGAGTTTATTGAATTTGGTCATGGACTGGATTAGCGATTGACAATTGTTAAATGTCAAAACTGCAATAGACAATTGCCATTCTATTAATTTTAATTATTCAAAGTTACAATTTCTACATAATTTTCAAAAAAAATATATTTCTATGATTCAGTATGTAATTATTGCATAGATGAATAACATTCACATATGCATATATGCACTAGCTTATAAAAATATAATCATATGTTAGATTTTGAGTTTAAACTTATATAATATATTATAATGCTCTTCATTATTTATGTAGGTCGGTTTGGTAGCTGACATGCAAGACGATGACGTGCAACTTGAAATTGGTGGTACTCTCCAGCAGAGGATTTCCTCTTGTCTGAATGCTCTGGACAAGTTCCTGAAACAAGATGCTCCTATCGTCTCTTCCATCGTAGTAGCTGAAAAGAAGGCTGGTGGAACTGGCTGTGGCAACATTGTGGATGCCGTAGCACAGATTATGGGTAAATGATTATACAAATCTTTAATACATTAATATTCTTCATTGACTAACTGTAATTGTTTCAGTTTCTTCTATTCATTTGTGTTATCTAATGGTTAAATGATCTTAATTTACATCTCTTTTCAGAGTAGCATGTATTTTAAACTGAAATTTAGTTTATATCTAGTTAATAAATTAATATCTACACTATTTACAATAGCACATATGTTAATTACACTTTGTTAGCTAGGCACTTCTTATTTAAATTACATTTGTTTTAATACCAGCTTTAGTTAGATATTAATATAATTTCAGTCTTAAATAATTATGACAACTCATGAATGAAACCAAGTATTACAACAAACGGATTATGATATAGATAATATAAGTTTCGTGTTAAACCATAGTGTGTACATCAGTTTCGATTTTGCCCCTCGGGTCTTCGAATATCCATTACGATATATGTATATAGCCGAAGCATTAAAGTCAAATCTGTTAATGCACTAGCCACGTATAACTTACCTACGTTTACGCTAATGGCTTGCTATATAATATTCACGATGGAATATTTTATTTCATAATTCAATTTGGAGATATTATAGATAATTTGGGTTTACTTTTCAACTAAACTATTTTAATCAATTTGTCTCAGTGCCTTCTTGCAGCAACAGTGCTGGATTTTGCCCTTAATTTAGCAATTAACTAAAGCATTATGTCTTGGGCACCAGAAACAGAATTGAAAAAAAAAATAGCTCATGAAAGGAGAACCATTTTTTTGTTCCGAAATCCCTTCGGATTTTATGTCGGACTCAAACCGACCAAAAACCGCACGCCGTCTCGGGTTGCCGGAGAACCAAGTGTATCGTAGAACGGAAATCCCTGGTACCCTGGCGTACTTAGGGCCATCTACGGCGTGTAGAAGACTCCCTCCTATGTCCTCTTTGTGTTCCCGAAAGGGCGTGCGCGCCTAGCAACTACCCCGGCCTGCGCTTATGGAGGACGGAGATCATTCTGTGACCTCTGGCCTCTGAGTAGTCTGCGTACCTGGACTGTTCCCGAGCCTGGCGGGCTGGGAGAATTCTAAACGTCGCCCGGTCCCGCTCCGCTATCTCCTTCGCAAGCAAAACTTGCTCGCAGAAGGAGACGGCGGAGTTTCTATATCGGCGGATATATCTCGTTTAAGCAAACGAGATATATCCGCCGGCATAAACTCCGGCATAAACTAGTCTTAATCGGGGAAGTGTTTGTACTGAAAAATAAACTTCTCCATACGTCGTCTATATAAGTTAGCATAATGTAATTGTTTCGCAACAGCTATCAAGGACCTGAAAACGGTATCACAGCAAGTGTCCTTAGCCGAGTTGGGAATGGACAGTATGATGGCGGTGGAGATAAAGCAAACCTTGGAGCGAGAGTTTGAGATCTTCCTCACCGCGCAAGACATTAGGACACTTACCTTTGCAAGGTAGAAATAATCATTTGTTTTTCTATAAAAGTTTTATCATCTGTGCAAACAGAAGTCGCAATAGTGTGTGCGAACGCGACATTGACGATGAGCGATTTGTCATTTTTTGATGTCAGGGTGTGTGTCAGGAACAAGGAGGTGGCTTAAGTCTTAAATTATACAAGGGTAACGTGGAGAGGTTCGAGTAATGTTCTAATATATTTATGTATCCTATAACGTAAATATATTCTACATATAACGTGTATTATGTGTAAGTAAGTAGTGTAAGAGTGTATGTGTGCCTGTTGATTCAATCCTATAGTGTCTTGTGCATACTATTTTACTATTTTATCTATTTTATTATTTTTTATATAAAAGTGAGAATTATCCTTACCTATCTGTTATCTTATAAATCTGCATATATTCTGATTATCATTGCTGTAACGCGACCATAATTAATGCAATAAATTAATCATAAAATACAGATCGACATACTTCTTTACGACCTACGACTTTTGTATCCATTTCTACATGTTACTTCACACTATAGGAGATTTTCTTTAAAAATTTGAGGTTCATGCACTTTTTCTACCTATGAACTTTAAGTATTTGAAACAAAATATAATTCAGTGCACTATATTTCTTTGAAAAAGACTGCAACGAGTGTTTTTCACGTATATTTATTATATACAAGATATTTTTCACGTTATAAAAGTAGTGTTTCAAATCCGACGGTAGCCATTCTAGACATTCGAAAGTTGTAAGTAACATGAATTGACTTTGAAACGGCTGTTAAAATTGATCAAAAGTAAACTAACTATTTTAACCAAGCCAGATAAAATTGCTTTTAATATTATATTAAAATAATAAATAAATATTTTTAAAAGCCTTTATTTATTGCGCCAGATTGGTAGAACTAACGGCGCAACGAGAAGCAGCAGCATCTACGGCTGCGTCCCGTCCTGCCCATATTGAAGGAGCTGCTGGTCTTAAAGTTATCATGAGGAACTTTGGTGATGAAAAGCTGGTGTCAGAACCTCTTGTCTACATGTCTTCTTTGGTCGGCGACGGTGTCGAGGTGGGTTTCATTTTTGGTGGTCTTCATTGTGGTTTTGACAATGAAAGTCAGTATTAAACACATATTGCACATTAAGGAGCATTAGGTTGTACTCTATTAAAAATATTTCCATTATGCTAAAATATATTTGAAGATAACTAAGTATTATCTTCAAAGTAAGGTGACTAAAGATTTCTTATTAAGATGCCTATGTTTTTTTCACTTAAGAAGTTGGACTACCAATATAAAAAATGTAAATTGTAATAGTTAAAAAAAGTAATTAGAAAAAACTATTCTTAAAACTTCTTAAAAATAACTTGTTTTAATAAACTTTTAATAAACTTAAGTGTTTTCTTCTCAGGGTGAAGAAGAAGTACACGTTATGGAACGTGTTATGTTCATGTTACCAGGTATAGAAGGATGTGCTGCAGTATTAGAACCTCTCTGTAGAAGGCTCAAGATCAAGGTCTGTGTGCTACAACTTGGTACAGAGCATAAGAGCGAGAATATGGAACAGATGGTGAACAGACTGTACCAGGTGAGAATGCGATTGGTTTACTAATAATAGTGAATAAGTTGGATATTAGTAATCATTAACTGAATGAATGAAAGCTATTATTTAGGTCTTGGAATATTTTTTAATTAATTTCTCATTTGTTTTAGTCGGTGATATCAAGGTTGGCTCCTGGTGCACCATTCTGGTTACTGGGATACAGTTTCGGTTCACTGCTCATACTAGAGTTGGCATCGAGACTTGAAAGTGAAGGTGAGTTACCCGAGAATATTCTATAACTTGGCATATAATTTTTTTCACTTAAATTACAGACAAAAATAAAAATTAATATGTAACCTTACTTAAATTTATTCCATTACCCTAAAATCAGTTCTGAAACTTATTTGTGTTTAGTTGAGTATATTACTTGACCGTACCAAAACTTCCACAGCAATTTCTTAACCATGCCACAGAATTACGATATATTAATCCCAATTCAAATATAAATTCTTCTTCACAGGTTTCAAGGGAACAGTATTCTGCTTAGACGGTGCTCCAGATTTTCTCCACGCCCTTTTAACCATGACGATCAGTTTCAAAAACGACTTCCAGCTACAAAACAATTTACTGTGTCACATAATCGATATCGTTGCACCTAATAATGACACCAGTAAAGGTTTGTTAGACCAACTCAACAAAATCGAGTCATACGAAGAAAGAGTTGAACTTTCTATTAAGGCTTCACCAATTCAATCTAAGTACTCTAACAAATTCATTGCTGATGTTGCCACTGTAAGCTTCGATCGCCTTAAAGTAGTTTTAGACTATAATACCAAAAATTTCAAAAAGCTACAATCTCCAATAATTTTGCTCCGACCAAAGGACAATCCGCCATTCATTGTTGTTGAAGAGAACTATGGCCTTGACAAATTCACTGAAAATAAAATTACAGTACATTATCTTGAAGGTAACCACATTAGTATCATTGAAAATAAGGATTGTGCTAATATTATTAATAGGGTTCTAGTCGAAAACGAAGAACAAAAAGGTAAAACTGGCGAAAATGTTGTCACTAGCATTGTTGAAAGTCAATTAAAAGTTCAAGTGTAATTAAAATATATTTGTTTTGCGTTTTGTCTTAGATTATTGGCATTTGTATTTTTATTGTGTATGAAAGTTAAATAGGGATTATAAGGGCTCTAATGTGGTGTTTTGTTTTTTCTTTTCTATAAAATAATAAAAATGGCCGTATTTTAAGATAGTTCACTTAGTCTGATAATTTTATGTAAGTTTTGTCGAAGAGACACCAGTACCAAACAAATAATCATTAAGTTTAACTGTTAGGATTAAGTATTCGGGAAATAAGCTATTAAGTTACTTAAGCAATTAAGACGGGGAATTTTTAAAAAAAGGGTTCTTATTTATAGGTTGGTATTTTAATAAATTGTTTGTAAGTAATAATTTATTGTTTGAAGTTGTTCAATAAGGGTTAAAAATGGGGACGTTAAATATATTTATTTTAATGATATCTGCTTCTTTTATTATTGTACATATTATAAATTTTTACCGTATACCAAAAACTTATGAGGAGCTCTCCTCATGCTTCACCACAAATGGGTCGGCCCGACCGGAGTGATACCACAGGCTCACATAAAACCAGTGTTTAAACAATTATTTTACTTATTACTTTTAACTATAGATGGTACAAAATCACAGTAAACTGTGAATGAACGGTGATTTATCATTCGATTTTTTCATACGTGGGTTAGGGTTACTACTTACTCACGCGTTGTTACCAATTAACTGTTTTCAGACGATGCAGAAAGACCCTATTTCACCTATTTAACAGTAAATCTAGTTATTATTTTAATATATATAGCTACCATTCCCTACATAATTATTCCAAAAATACTAGATTTACTGTTAAATAGCGCCTTACCTACCTACCAACCCTAACCAAAAAACTTACGCAAAAATCGAATGATAATTCACAGTTCACCGTGATTTTGTCCCATGTCTACTTTTAACCGAGTGAGTAAGGTTACCGGAGCCCAAATGCACCCCGATTCTAGGGAGAGGGGATACAGAGGGTGACAAGGCACTTGTAACTCTTCAGTGGAAGGTGTCAATAGGATGCGGTAACTTTACTTACCATCAGGTGAGCCGTCTGCTGCATTATCCTCTTATGACATAAAAAAACTATGTGATCCACGAATTGTCCTGAGTTTGGGTGTTCCTTGTGTACATTTCATGTATGTTTGCAAAGTCCCCCGCTACACAGGAATATATTCCTAATACGGGAGTAGCCTTTTTAAAGAGAAAAAAAAATGAGATGATCATGCATGCTTACTTATCACTCTGAGTGACGGTTGCTGCATCTGTTTAGCTACTCCCTGAAGCTTTAAAAGTAGCCGTGGTAAACTTCCATACCCTAATTTATACGTTGATTTCATAATCAGAAGATGATACGAAAGGGCGAAACAGCATAAAATATTGGCCCCGATCAAAGCCCGCAATCGGATTGAAATCAGGATTTGACGCGTACATTGAACACTGAGCCATGAAGTAAGCGAAACCCTTGATGTTGAGCGTAGTTTGAATTGAAAAATTTATTTACTGTTAGATAGCCCATTTATAGAGATAGGCCAATAAATCACGCTATTACCATTAGGAGCCGAGTATCAATGAAAAACGTTTGCAAAAACGTGGAAAGTTTATTCCTTTTGTAAGACTCGGACAAAGTTGTTAACCTGGTAATCTATGTGTATAGAACTAAACATTAGTAGTTATAAATTTGCAAAAACAGATAGCACATAATTAGAAAAAAATGAAAAAAGAATTGTCTTAAAGTTAATTATTTATTCGAAAATTCATTTCTTAATACTAATAGTTATAAGCCATAAAAAAAATTGTACAGTAATTGCATATGTGACTTTGGACATCTAAAGTGTAATCTATTAGTGAAATCAAATAACGCCCGGTTCCACGGCTTACTGTTATATATGTTATATTATATATATATATATCTACACTTCCATATTTTTTAACGAATTCTCTCCCTTATTTTAAAAATCGTAAGAAAAGTTATTACACAAAAAAAACCTCCGTAGCTATCGGTGTTTCAACATCAGAAAAAATGGTCAAAAACTTTTGATATGGTTAAAGACATACTTTGTTGATGTTTTAAGTAACAATATTCTGCGTTGTGTCCGTGTGGTGACGGATGAAGAATACAGAGTGTCACCAACCCATATTCAGCCCGTGGGGTCGTAAGAGCCGGCAAATGAAGCAAAATACGTAGAACAACAGCACTGCAGAGAGAAGGAAAACTTGACATAAACCCGTTACCAACCCGTCTGGCCAGCGTGGTATGGTGGGCCAAAACCTTCTTTCTAAGGAGGGCCTATGTCCAGCAGTGGACTATTAAAGCCTGTTCATGATGATGATGATTCTGCGGTGACCACTGAAAGTAGTGATATATTTTTAATTAATCCTTCATTTTTAGGGTTCCGTACCTCAAAAGGAAAAAAACGAACCCTTATAGAATCACTTTGTTGTCACTATATGTCTGTCTGTCTGTCAAGACTTTTATCTCAGGAACGGGTCGTATCGTATATTATCGAGTTGAAATTAAAACATATTTCGACACTCGCAAGCAAATAAAAATTCACAGGGTACTTTCCGTTAACCTAGAACTATGAAATTTGGCACGTAATATCGACCTATACTACGAGTACAGGAAATCTGAAAACTGTAACTAACTAACTTAAAAACACAATAATATAAGTAATCATATTCCAGTTTTTTTTCATTCACACTAATTAACAATGAATAATTCTTGCTGTTTTTGGAGCTCCAATTTGGTTGATTTTAATCTGTCATGCCGACGTTCTCTGAATGGAAATCATTTATCATTAAACGAACCGGTGGACTTGTCACATTTACTTTCATTAATTGTACTTTATTATATTATTCAATTTATTTATTTTATTTTCTATATTCATATTGTTTCATTATTTTTTTCAAATTATAACCTGTTAATTTTATAGTTAATTTTTTCTTATAGTTGCCATAAATATTGCTACAAGTAAAAATATATTGCTTTTTTAATGTCTATTGCATAAAACATTAATTGTTACTGTAAAGTGTGTTAGTTTTTTACATTAATAAAAGATCATTAAAATTTACGAAATTCATTCCAAATAATTTCCTAAACCTATATAAAAATAAACTTCTGCAGGTAGACGTGAGAATTAGCCGCCTATCTTTGGCGAGTGGCATTGTCTTTCTTGTTGAATTTACATATATGTAAAAAAAACTGAAAGTAAAACAAACTCACAAAGCGAACTGTGAAGTTTGCGGAGTAATGTTATGGCTAAGACTAGTGTTCTGCTGTTACAGAGACAGATTATAGGTTTGGCGGTTACAAATAGTTAGTGTGTATGTGTGTGTGTGTGAGTGTGTGTGTGTGTGTGTGAGTGTGTGTGTGTGTGTGTGTGTGTGTGTAGGCGTTTACGCGTGCATGTGTAGGTAAGTAAATATATGTATATACATGCTTACTGCTAGATTTGAAGTAGTCCTTCAGTTTGTCCATAGTCTAAGGTTTGTAAAAATGTTGTTTCAGCTTTCACTTCGCGAGGAGTTAAGCCACTAACAGGAATAGCCAGTACCGTTATAAATCCAGGCTACTCATGCGACTGATCAATGCAAATTAAAACTGATACATTTACCAAACTTGATAATTAAGGCTAACAACACTATTACATTGTGATAACACGGCAACCCACCAAATTTCATTAGTCTATTTAATTACAAATTAGACTATAAGTAGATATATACCAAAATGAACAGCGCTTATCCAATTTATTTACCTGGCAATTCATCGAGTATCTGTTTAATTTAAACTGGCAATTAGTTACTGTTCTGTTTCGCGAAGGAAATTAACGTATCTAAATGTTTTGCCCAAAACACTTTATCAAGAGGAAAAACCAAGTGATTACAATACAAAACATTATCGCATACGCATTTATCTGCGAAAGAAGATATGTATACATAAACAAAAATTTTAACAAAAAAAAACCGACTTCAAAAATCACTATTCCAAAAGAAATTATTACGCACTAAAAAGTAAAAAAAAAAAAATGCATATTCTTCTACAACTTAACTTAACTTGTTATTTTTGGAGTCGGTGTTAGCCAAGGAAACACTACGCTATACCTAGCAATAATAATACGAGAATACTTTAAGACTCTTCAACTCGCGCGTGCGACACAAGCACTTCTCACTTATAAATATGTATACATGTACATCCCTTGGGTGTCGTACGTTGCTCCCTCAGTCGACACTGAGGGAGCAAACTACGCAGGACAACAGCACTGCAAAGAGAAGGAAAACTTGAAACAAACCCTATGCCAACGCGTCTGGCCAGTGTGGTATAGTAGGCCAAAACTTCTTTTCTAAGGAGAGGCCTATGTCCAGCAGTGGACTAGTAAAGGCTGTTAATGACAACAATTACTTGACCATAACGACGTTACTGTAGGTGACTCAAATATCCGGATAGCCTATAAAAGATTCAGCCAAGTATTGTTAATTTGCTCCTAAGAATTGAAGAGTTCCGTTACTTTGTCGTGGATCCCATGATCAGAATCTAAGCAAACTCTCATCAAAGTATCCTTAAAGTACATCCATTCCAATAAAAAAAAGAATTATCGAAATTGGTTAGCGTAATATTAAGTTATTCGTCTGTTTCTCGCGAACATACTGAATGCAAATTTAAGACTTATATGGTTTTCTTATGGATGTAAATATCAGAACTGAACCAAATTGGGACCACACGGGAAGCACCAGCTTTCAAATAAAAAAAGAATCATCAAAATCGGTTCACCTAGTCAAAAGTTCTGAGGTAACAAAACAAAAAAAAAAACAAAAAAAGAACAGTCGAATTGATAACCTACCTTGCTGCAAAAATCCTCTTAAGTTAACTTTTTTAGTGAACTACTAACCAGGGCTTGTTAAAGCTTGCAGTACTAATGTTGCTAAATAAGCCCTTGGTTGCTCCGTAGTATAAATCTTTAAAACTACCCTACAAATACGAAGAAATTAAACCTCTT